AATCAGGTGGAAACCAATGACTTCAAGTTTTTGTTTATTGGCCTCTTAAAAAAAGATTTGCTAAAGCTGTTGCTCAATCCTTTGATTCAAATGGGATTGTGCAAATTAACATAATTCTTAGCAAGAACTGGGTGTATACAAATTATGGCACGCTTGTGTCTGTCCAGCTAAATGTGTCTTATTGCAAGCTGGACCACAACAAAATGTTGCAGCATATTCCTGTCCAAGCCAGAGTCAGCTGGTAATATTGCAACCTCTTTCTCCCTCCCTACTTTCTGTAGTAACTATATATGTTTGGTCTTCATTGAGCTGTCTTATGACAGCCCACTTCTCTTCTACCCCCCCCTTTTGCTGTAAAATAAAATAAATTTTATTTCTTGCAAGTCCCCTGTGTGTGAGTGGTGCTCTTTGGAGTATTTAAAGATTGACATTGTTCGCAGTTTACTGTTAAGGAATACTTGTAACTGTTTTTGAGTTTATTCTCAGATTTAAAATAAACTTGCAGTGGAAAAGTTAATACTGTTCTAAACTTGGAATAAAGCACCTTCCATTCCAGCACCTTGTTCCAAGCTTTGGACAAAATTTAGTGTGCTCCTTCCATGTTGTTCCAGGCATTCTGATATTCTGTAATTAAAATTACGGTAAGCCCTGCAGAGTTTGTGGGTGCATTTATCATTAGAACAGTAGGCACGGGCATGCAATTGGCTGGAGTTATTTGAGAAGGAATGGAAGGGAGAGGAAGGGGGGAATTCATTTGAATATTATTTATTATCATTTATTTAAATGTGTTATGGCCACCTATTCCAGAAAATTCTGGCCAGTTTACAAAAGGGGGACCTGGACTACATCTACAAAAAATTGTAGATACATGGTCCCTCGTATAACTACGTCCTATGAATTGAAATGCTTTGTAGGTGACAATCAGCATCACCCAGAAACCAACTGTCAACCAATAATACATCTGGGCATGCCTAGCCAAAAATGCCTGCTGGTGCTGGTGCTGCTGCATTTTGATCTTCAAGGGCAGCCTGGTGTAGAGTGCATTACAGTAATCCAACTACAAGATGATCAGGGCATGAGTGACCATCTGAAGGACCCCCCAGTCAAGGAAGGAACACCCTGGGCACACAAGATGAACTCCCGTCAGTCGCAAATTGTCCCTATCCAAGACTTAATGAAACCCCACTGATCTAGGGGACCAAACAGCCACGGCCATTCGGTCTTGTCAAGCTCTTCAGGATTGACCCAAAGTCTGTTCTTTTCCATCAGACCTGAACAGCTTCCAGACACTGCATTGACACCTTGACAACTTCACTCTACGTGGGGCTGCCCTTGAAGACCCACCAGTTGATTCAAAATGCAGTAGCACCAGCAGTAGCAAGCATCTTTTGCTTTGTATGCCTATGGATTGAGATATACAACTGCAGGAACCTTGTACTGTTGATACCAAATTGATGGATGGCTTGAATCAGTGGTTTCATCTAAAGGTTAAACAGGAGAAGGGAGAGTGTCAAGCTCTGAGTCACCTCAGAAGTGGGTGGTCACAGGCACGATCCCTTCTTCCAGTCCATCAACATAGTTGGGAGTGATCACTGAAGAAGGAAGCAAACCACTATAACATGGTGCCTCCAGCCTATGCAGAAAAATACCATGGTCGCTGATACTGCTGAGAGGTCAAGGAACACAAGGATGGATGGACCACCCCCACCTTCGCTCCACCAAAGAATATGAACAAGCACAAATACTTGGTTAATGAAGGCAGTTGGACCAGAATTGCTGTCGCTAAGCAATAAAGTCATATAGTGGGGCATCATGTGACCACGCCATCTATTGACATCAGTTCCAGCAGTCCTGGTTGCCATTGTTAAGGGAGGACAACACAGATAATTAAGCAAGAATCTCACATGACTAGGACTTCCAACTTCCTGTTGACTTCCCCATTGACTTTGCTTGTAGGAAGCTGCCAAATGAGGTCACAAATTGTGATCATGTGACCATGGGGATGCTGTGATGGCTGGAACGCTGAGGACCTGTTGCATCTATTGCTCATTCAGCACAATCATAAGTATGAACAGTCGCTGAACAAATTATCATTAACTGAGGAATCCCTGTACTATGTGTGCCATCCAGTCAAATAGCAAATGATGTTACAGGATGAGGGTGGACATAGCTCGTTGTGACTGATAGGTTGTTGTGAGGGTAACCAAAACTGAGTTGCAGTTTGATGGTCCCCAGAGTTCCATTGGTTTACAAGGGGGCTAATATTACTAGAATTAATCTCAGAACTGCTACTGCCCGATTCACCACCATAGGAACGAGATGCTTCAGTAGAAGCAGATTGAGCTTTGTGTGATCCCAACATCTTATCTCTCCAAAGAGCATAATAAGGTGTGGCTCTGAGTAAGAGTTTGTGTATTTAAATGAATATTTAAGAGTGCATATTAAGATACAGAAGCATTTTTTCTTGGCCTGGGTTCTGGTTGTGGCCATTTTACTAGAAAAGAACATGGCAGATCCTGGGCAAATTAGTCTCCAAGGAAGACAGAGCCCTTGCAGGCTGAGTAAGGGTTGGCAGTGGGCCCATGAAGTACGTGTCCCTTCTTTTTCTACCATGTATGGGTTCCGTTCTCTCCACATTGTAAAACTGGGCATCCTAGAGCTTAGTCCTGACCAAAACACGATTGCAGATCAAAGTTTGGAGGTAATTTAAAGAGTCCGGACCTTCTTCAACCTCTCTATTGCAAAAGTGGCTCTAGGAAAAGTATGCTTGCAAAAACAATTGGTCATTGGCTAAAACTATCCAGTTTAGTGGACAACAATATTTCAAAATATATTCTGTTATCCTTTATGTGCTGCAGGTGTAATCAGTTTGAGGAAACTTTAGTACATACAGGTAGTCTTCGTGTGACAGTTCAGCAATCATTTGAAGTTAAAAAAAAAATCAACTTGAAACCTGCCCTTGAATTTACGACTGTCACAGTGTCCCCAAAGTCCCTTATTAAAATTCAAGTCAGACTCTACTTACAACCGCCTCCTCCCAGCTGACCTTAATGTTTCTGCCTGCCTGACTCCCCTGCACTGGACTCACCTGTAATACCTGGTAAAGACCTTGGGCGGTGGGCTGAAGAGAAGCCGCCCAGGGAATGGTCAGGTCAGAGACAGCTCAGCTGCATCGTGGGTGGGTCCATTGGCTCAGAAAGGACCCTCCCTAGTTGTCCAGGCTGTAAAGGAGGCAGCAGGGAGATTTATACTTTCAGACATGTAAGGTTCTGTTTGATTCTAATTGCATTTTTACAGTAAAGTAGAATTAGCTTATCTGTTCATGTTTCCGCTGCATGTGGGGAGGGGGGTCACAGAAACGTCCTGCAGACTGGAAGGCAGGAGGGGCAAGTGTGTGCTGCCACCTGCCAAGAAGGGGCCAGGAGCCTGCTGGTCGGGTGGATCCTTTGTGCACACCTTGCAGCACTGGGACATATTTTTTTTCTGCTCCCCCTGACCTTTTGCAGGCCGGGGTCCAAGGGCCTCTCTAGGAGGCATAGCTTTTTGAAGACTGCTCTTGCAGCAATGGAGCCACGCGCCAGATGGGCTCGGGCAAGGGATGCAGGGCGCTTCTCATTGGGCAGTAGTACATATTAATTGGTACTTGAAAAATAAATCCTGTGTGTGTATTAGATTCTACAATTATTGCATCAAGAGACCCCAAAACCTAAGTAAAGGGATGCCAAACTAGAGCGGCTGCTGAGTTTCCAAAGGTCTGAACGTGAGTTCCGTAACAGACTCCGAGCACCTTAATATTTCTCCGAGTAATCCTACTTAGAGATCTCATTGGCTAGTCAAGGGAGAAGCCTTCCAACAAACCCTTGGGCTTCTAAGTCAACAAGGAAACCTTTTCAAGTAGGTTGGAAATGCAGCAAAGACCACCAGGGTGGATTCTGCGGAATAGATGTTAGAGAGCACCAACTTTGCTCATATTCAGTAACAGAATGGCAGCCTTCCACATAAACTGAAACTGCCCAGCCCTTAGTGGAATGAATTGTAATAATCTGGCAGGAGGATGACTACAGTTTGAATCACTGCAGCCAAATTAGCAACAGTCAAACCAGCTTTAAATTTAACATTCTGTCACATAGTGGCACAAATAACAAGACTAAGTAATTTATTGAGGCAAAAATCTTACGGCATTATTATAAGAAAAGTATGTAGGTATTTTAACTATTTCAGTTATAATGATGAAGCTTTTGCCCAACAAGCAGTGTGTTAACCTTGTTTGAAAACCTAATGATCTTTGTTCTATTTATATTTCATTTCTACATGAAAAAAGATGGTTCTCATTTTTCCTTGAATGTACATACGAAATTGCAGATACAGGGAAACGAAAGAAACTTTGGTCCTTGGCCTAGTCCATAAACTCTATAGATTCAAAAACTCTCTACAGCTTTCAGAAAGGAAGTGTTAAAGCAAATGTAACTTGTACTAATGTTCTGATAATTCAATCTTCTCATATTTTCAGTTAAGGGCCTCAATAACGCTATTGCTCCAAATTCATAAATATCCTTAGAGAGATGAGAATCAGAGTGGATAAAGATTTCAGATCTATCAATTGCTTAGCTTCAAAGTCACGAAGTGCAGGGCAAAAGGTCTTCTGAATTTGGGAAAAGCAGAAGAAAGAAACAACAGGTTTATACTGCTATGGGTGTAAGAGGAAACATTTCCATCACACTTCTAGAATGCAAACATTTTTTTAGTGCAGTTTTGGTCCGCATGTGGTCTTGATACTTATTAAGTCAAATGGTGTCAATGTTTGAAAGGCTTCTGCTGGGTTTGGGCTGAGCTGAGCAGGGCCCAGGGAGACTGAAGGAATTACTGTAGGATTTGTAGTCTGTGCAAAAAGTACTAGGCAGGGAGGGGCTATTTTCAGGTGTGTGAATAGTTTGTATATAAATAACAGTGCCCTCAATTTTTGAAAATCTGTTTTCTCTCTGCAGATTGTTAGTAAATGTATATCGAGCAGGCAGCCAAGAATGAAGAAAGCAAGCCGGATTGTTAGTTCGGTGCCCAAAGTGCCTGGAATAACTAAAGTGCAAATGGTAGAGAAAGTTAAAACAGAGACCGGTTCCACAACGTCTGCAGTAACGAAGCTTCCGAAAGCAGGAACAGCAGCCTCTTTCCTCAAGGTATCGCCACAACTCTTTTGGAATGCAAGGGGAGTGGGGGATATCAACAACGGGCCATGGCATGAGCAGCAGAGAAAATGCTGCCAATATTCGTGCATATTGACAGCTTTTTTATTGTTGCCTCCTGTACGTGGGGTTACATGTTACCTACAGATAACAAGTTTTATAACTGTAGAGAAACACAGACGCAGAGGAAGCAGAGCCTGCACTGTTTCTTAAGCCTTGCAGATAAAAATAATTTTGCCCTCTTCGATGAAGCTATTGGAAATTTGTGTTGGATTCATCCAATTAATATTTCTACATTTTCACCCTGTTCACATGATCCACTTATTGAGTCTGGCACTATTCTTAGGTACTCCTCAAGTTGCAGCCACTCATTCAGCAACTGTTCAAAGTTATGACGGCATTGAATGAGTGCTTTTTACAATCAGCCCTTTAGGTTCTGGCTGTGGCAGCGCTCCCGGGGGCTGGCATGGCATTTTGGGTGCGTAGCAACCAGCTTGCAGCTACAGTGGCTGCAGCATCCCACGGGCATGTGCAGTTGTCACTGTTTGTAACTTTTCCTGCCGCTTTTCTCAAGCAGTGCCAATGAGGAGCCAGCAGGGAAGATCGCAAGTCACTTCCTCTGCTTTTTCTCCCGAGGAGCCCCAGTCCATAGCAAGTAGTGCCTGCAGCCCCCACCCACATTCCTTAGCACCCATTTGCAGCCTCCCCATATGGCAGTCGTGCACCCCACTATGCTCTTAATCTGGGGTTTATAAAATATTAAAAAGATAACAGTTAAAAATAGTAGCCCAGGATGTCCAAGTGCAATGCAACCGTACAATTGCATGAACAACGGAGCTCTCCTAAACTCCTGACGCAAATGCCTGGAAACAAGCCAGATTCTCAGGGCCTTGCGAAAGGCTAAGTGAGTCAGGGCTCCCTGTATCTGTAGGGGATGCTGTTCCATAAGGCAGGCACTGCCACAGAGAAATCATGATTTCTGGGTCCAACGGGATGATTTATATTAAGTGGAGGGGACCTGAACCACACCCCACTGCTTGCCCCACTCAGTTCCACAACTGGGTCAGGCAAAAACCATGGGAGAAAGGCAGTCCTACTCTAGAGAGGAGAGCGAAGTCCTGTTACCAAGGCAATAAACAGGTAAACATAAACTTAAGTTCCTACCAAGGTGGAGATTTATGAAAGCAGCTTTCCATTCCCAATACTTACAAGATTTTGTGACTACAGGATATCTTAATAAAAGTGGTTAGGGTTGGGGCTTGTCTGTTTCCTGATCCGGTCTATATTGTAGGGCTGATAACTGCAAATAGCCTGAGTCTCTGCCAAGCAGGAGTTTATAGATTACAACTGCCTTGAATCACACCTGGAAGCTTACTGGGAGCCAGTGCAGCTTGCTGAGTTGGGATGTAGCAAGAGATAATCAAAACTACCTGCGCTGCTGCATTCTGGACCAGTGGCAGCTTCCAAATGCTCTTCAAGGACAGCCCCATGTAGAGGCCGTTGCAGTAATCCCCTTGGGAGGTGACTCTGGCATGAGCCTCATGAGCCAGAAACTGGCGCATTTGGTGCGCAAGCCAACCCTATGCAAAGGCACCCCTAGCCGTAGCTGCTACTCTCCCTTGAGCAGGAGCCAGCAGGACCTTCAGGTTGCACGCTGATTCTGACTGGGGAAGTGTCAAAGAGGGGAAATCTCCCAAGGAGGGGGCTTTAAACCCACCGCAACCGCTCGCCAGAGTTGAGCCAAAGCGAGTTCCATATCCCAGGCACCCTCACAGCCTGGGACCTTGGCAGTGTTGCTTGGTCAGCCAAGAAGGGTACGACTGGGTAACAAATAGGAATGGTAGCAACAGAATTGGGAGGGACCTTGGAGGTCTCTCAGTCCAACCCCCTGTTCAGGGAGGAACCATTTCAAAGGGAAACTGGTGAGGAGGTAGAGCCCCAAAGCGCCCCACAGACATGGGCTTCAAGCTTGATCTCTTTGCCAACGCTGACTGGAAGAAAGGAGAAGACATGCGTGATACAGTGCCTCCCACTCCGAATATCCTAAGGAAGGCCAGACGGGTGCCCCAATCAGTGGTATCAAATGAGATCAAGGAGGACCAGGATGGACACACTATCCTGAGCCTGCCAGAGCTTACCCAGTGCGATCAGTGCCACTTCAGTGTTGTCACTGGGCTGATTCCTGACTGAAAAGAGTCCAGATAATCTATTTCTTTCAGGAGCTGTAAACCGACAACCTTCTCTAAAAAGGGAAGGTGGAAGATTGTATAAAAAGGTCAGATCTGCTGGGTCCAGCAATGGGCTTCAAGGCAGAGGGGACCATACCCTCCGGCAGAGGTCTGGTCCCAAGAGCTCCTCACCTCCCAGAAGACTTGATCAACCAGGAGGAACAGGGATCTGAAATACTTGAGAACCCTGTTGGTTCTCAGACCAACATCACAGACCTCAGGGCCAGAAGGCTTGAACTCTGCCCGATATCTGGGCCGGGCTGTGCCTTGCAAAGGGCCGGTACAGTCAGATTCCAACTCTGAACAAATCTGAGCCACTTATCCTGCTGATGGCTAGAATAGTTCTCACCAGAGCCTTGCAGGTGTCCCTGTGGCCTCTCCTTGCCCAGGAGGGGCTGAGTTATTCTGGCCACTGGTTCACATTCTGTATGATTGGCATAGATGTTATGCCACCCATGGTTTGATGTACCTTATTTACTTTGTTGAATGGAGCTGCCGGCACTCAGGAATTCAGGCCTGTCTCTGTTGAGTGATCATTAAAAATTCATGCATGGTAATTATAAGGCTATGTTAGCAAATAATAACTGGGATTTGAAGGCTTACTGTTTATTTACATGTCACTGGATCTATTAAGAGTCGCAGCAGCTAACAATAATAATAAAGTAGAATGATGCAAGTTAATTAAAAGCACGGCATTATAATTCACATACCTGTCATAGTTATTTGTTAACATTGTCGCCTGCCAAACTGACAGGTTTTAAGGAGGCTACTCTGACTTCAGAAAATACAGGAAGCAAAAGAACTAGATGCAAAAGTGATTTGAATAAGCCGGTTCACTGGGTAAAAAATAAACTTTTTTTTCCCGCCCATTCAAGTTTTTCTCAACAAAAAAAATCTTTTTATTTTACACTGGTGGAACCTGTTCGTCTAGTTGTGGAACTGCTCATTTTTTCATGCATGGCAGTTTGTGTGCACTGCAGAGGGAAATCATATTTATCCAGGGAAGAAGCTTAATATTTCTTTCCTTCTATGTTTAGAGCATCTCAGCAATAAAATCAGAGCAAGCTTTCTGAGTTTTCAGTGCAGGTAATCCTTGAATTATGACCATATTTTCAGCAACCATTTGAAGTTCCAGTGGCTCTAAAGAATTGGCAGGTCGAACCCGTCTTCAGAGTTCCAGCCGTCCCAACATCCCTGCCGTCGCATGGTCACAATCTGGGCAACTGGCTCGCACTTACGACTGGTTGCAGCAGCCACGAGCAACTTTCACTGCTGACTTCCACAGACCGTCAATGGGGAAACCGGCAGGGAAGATCACAAGTCCCTGGGGGAAGCCTCCCCTCCCCCAGCCTCTCTCCCCTCCCGCCATGCCAGCCACGCCCACAGCCCCAGGCAGGCGCCCTGAGCCCCCTCCCCCACCGGCCAGCCTGCTTGAGAGCCACGGAGTTGGCTGCGGGAAGCAAGCAGGGATTTCCTTAATGATGGCAACTGCAAGGATTGCCATCACTAAGCAGTGCAGTTGGGCTTTACGACTGCACTGCTTACCGATTGAAATTCTGGTCTCAACTGCTGTTGCACGTCAAGGGACTACGAGTATATGTTTTCAAATTTGTTTCTTCAGTTTTATGCCTGGTATATAATTACTTTTTTTAAAAAATGGCATTTTTTGTTAATTTCTAATATTGTATATCATAGTATGTTTCCCTTTCCCTCCTCCGTCCTCTTCCCATCTTCTCTTGATCTGCCAGAGTTTGGTTGGTTCTCATTTTCAAAATGGTTTTGACATATTTTATCTTATTTTTGTCAACGCTGTGACAATTAAGAAATTGCAGCCACTTTACCTTTCGCTTTCTTTGTGCTTTTCCGTTGTTTGGGATTCGCAGGTGTAGAAGGGGGGAAGGGGAGAATGCTCGAGCGTTTTCTGTTAACCATAACATTTGCAGCTGGGTGAGCTTCAAGGTCAGTTCTAGATAAAGTTTTGGCGGGCTGAAAAGTTGGGAGGAGACCCCACGTTTTAGATTAATTGGTGAATGTGATTTATGACAGCCTTTCTGGGGTGGGAATTGCAACTTGTTACTTTGTATCAGGGGGAGGGAACTTTAGTCTTGGGTTCAACTATGTAAGTGCTGATACTTTGTTTCCTGAATAAAATGTTCTTTAAGGAAGAGATCTTTGCCTTGAAGTTCTTTTTATTGGCTTCATCTATCGGAACCATGACACTTTTTAAGTTTTGTCATTTCCAATAAATTAATTGTTGTTTAACTTTATTTAATTCTTTCCATGCTTGTTCACCACCCAACCAATCAGAAGAAATAGATGAACTCTTTGCCAACCAGTTAACAAATGCATGTAGGAAGCATACCACAATAGTAATGGGAGACTTCAACTATCCAGATATCAACTGGGAGACAAACTCTACAGCAAGCGGGAGATCAAACAGATTCCTAACCAACCTAGCCGACAGCTTTGTCATACAAAAGGTGGAGGTGGGAATTAGAAGTAAAGCGGTACTGGACTTAATTCTAACTAACAGAGAAGAAGTGATAGAGGGAGTTGAAGTTGAACCTTGGGTGAAAGTAACCACATCATACTGGAATTTAATATAACGCAAACACTAGCAACAGAAAACAATCCAACCAGGGTCTTAAACTTCAAAAGAGCTAACTTTAACAAACTCAGAGAGAACCTAGGAAATATCCCATGAATGAAAATCCTAAAGGGGAAAACAACCTTTTATGCGATCATAAAAACCCAGATCAGCACAATATCACTGAAAAAGAAAAACAAGAAATTCAAGAAGAAACCAGCCTGGCTGCACAAAGATCTCTCTGACAAACTGAAAGACAAAAAGGACAAATACAAAAAATGGAAAGAGGGGCACATAACTAAGGCCGATTATCAGCAAACAGCCAGAACATGCAAAAATGAAGTCAGGAAAGCAAACACTCGGAACAAACAAAGACTTGCAGCAGAAATCAAGGATAATAAAAAAAGCTTTTTCCAATATATTAACAACAAGAAAAAAGCCAAGGAAACTGTAGGCCCACTAAAGAGAGAAGATGGCAAGGAAATAACAGGCAACAGGGAGAAAGCAGAGCTGTTTAACTCATACTTTGCATCAGTCTTCACACAAAAAGAAACTATCGCCCAACATACCAAAAAAACCACTACAAAAGACAAACTAGAAACAAAAATTAAAATAAGCAAGAAAATGCTAAGAGAACACCTATCTGACCTTGACGATATAAATCACTGGGACCCAACAGATTACATCCCAGAGTTCTGAAGGAGCTGGCAGATGATATCTCAGAACCATTGCACCATATCTTTCAATGTGGTTCCCATCTTCAAGAAAGGAAAAAAAACCAGACCCAGTAAACTACAGACCAATCAGTTTAACATCAATACCTGGGAAGATCCTGGAAAAGATAATCAAAAAACAGATCTGCGAACAACTAGAAGCAAACAAAGTCATAACTAGTAGCCAGCACGGGTTTGTTAAAAACAGATCATGTCAAACCAATCTTATTTCATTCTTAGATAAAGTGACTAAACTAATAGACCAGCGAAATACTGTGAACGTAGTATACCTAGACTTCAGTAACGCATTTGATAAGGTAGACCACAACCTACTCCTTGGTAAGCTAGAAAAAGGTGGAATAGACAACATCACCACCAGATGGATCTGTAGCTGGCTGGCAAACCGTACCCAAAGAGTAGTCCTCAATGGCACTACATCCACATGGAGAGAAGTAAGCAGGGGGTACCACAATGTTCCGTCTTGTGCCCAGGACTCTTCAATATCTTCATAAATGACTTAGATGAGGGAATTGAAGGGGAACTCATCAAATTTGCAGATGACACCAAACTGACAGGAGTAGCCAACACCCCAGAAGACAAACTCAGGATCCAAAAAGATCTTGACAAACTTGAACAATGAGCCCTGTCCAACAAAATGAGTTTCAATGTGGAGAAAAGCAAAGTCTTACATTTAGACAGGAAAAACCAAAGGTACAAGTACATATTAGGTGAGACCTGGGTTAAAAACAGTAACTGTGAGAGGGACCTTGGAGTCCTAGTGGACCATCACTTGACCATGAGCCAGCAGTGTGCAGTAGTAGCCAAAAAAGGTAATACAATCCTGGGTTGTATAAACAGGGGCATAGAATCAAGATCACACGAAGTATTAGTATTGCTTTATAAAACCCTAGTAAGACCACACCTGGAATACTGCAGACAAGTTTGGTCACCATATCAGAAAAAAGATGTTGAGAGTTTGGAAAAAAATCAGAGAAGAGCAACTAAGATGATCAAAGGCCTGAAGACTAAAACATACGAAGAACGGCTGCAGGACTTGGGCTTGGCTAATCTAAAGAAAAGAAGAAATAGGGGAGACATGATAGCAGTGTTCCAGTATTTGAGGGGCTGCCACCAAGAAGAGGGGGTCACGTTATTCACCAAAGCACCAGAGGGAAGGACAAAGAACTATGGTTGGAAACTGATCAAAGAGAGAAGCAACCTGGAATTAAGGAGAAACTTCCTGACATTGAGCACAATTAACCAGAGGAACAGCTGGCCACCAGAAATGGTGGGCGCTCCATCACTGGAGGGTTTTAAGAAGAGGCTAGACAGTCATTTGTCTGAGATGGCATAGTTCTCCTGCCTGAGTGGGGGGGGGGGGACTAGAAGACTTCCAAGGTCTCTTCCAGCTCTATTCTATTCTAAATTTTCTAGACTGCTTTTATGAATCTCTTTTAATTGTGATTTACATCTGTTATAGCCTTTTTTTCTGATTTGCAGCAAGCCCAGCTAGGATTCCTCTCCTATAAGCTCTACATGTCTCCCATATAGTTGTGTCTGACGTCCCTGGAGTTTTATATATATAATTTGCATTTCTGCTGTGTGCTTTCTTGAAGTACAGTAACCGCCCTATAGTCAGGTCACCCTCTGAAGATGGGAGGATCTTCTTCACAGCTGCGTTTGGAAGCCAGGAGGGTGTCCGATCTGGTCACCATTTTCAGGGTAGAGTTTTCCAGACTGAATCATGAAGCTCTTTTTACAACTTGACCTATTTGGTTCCTTACTAGATTGTTCTTACCTACACAGCATGTCTGTAATTAACCTACTTAACAACAACAAAAAAAACTAGATGTAGTGGAAATGCAGATAGTTGGAAGGAATGCTTAATCTGGGTAAGTCTGCTAGGGATGAGAAGGGAGCCTCCATAAAAGGGATGGGAAATTTGTTCCATTGTGTTGCTGGGATTATTATTATTATTTTTTGGAGTCATCAGCCATCACTGTGCCTTTCTGCAATACAAAAATGTAAACGTTCTCATCTGATCATAACAAGAAACCAGACAAAAGATTTTCATAACTACTTCATGCAGATAAAAAGACAAAATATAAAATAAAAAATTGCTATCTATGTTAAGCAGTTATAGTTGCAAAAATGTCTTTAGAAACTGTGGGCTGGAAACAATATTAAATCTTCCATGAAACCTATTTTCATTCAGACAATTTTTGTCCTTTTAATTTCAAATGCAAGTGCTAAAATATTTCCAAATAATTTTTTGTAATTTTTTGCTTGTCTTATTCTATGCCTCCCTTGTATGCCTGTGAGAGAAATGGGCAGTTTCCAAATGTGATACGTTAAGTAAATAAAATATAAATAAGTAATATTGATCACATTGCGTATTCCATTTTAACTCTTTGGGATGAATACTAAGAAAGATTGTGGTAAGTTGATTTAACAAAATTGGACACATAGAGGGACTCGATGCAAAGTGCATGGATGCACCTCAAGGACGGCCCTTTTAATGTGTACGGCTATTATACTTAAAATTCAAAGTAATTATTGTATTTAATAGGTTTTCCTTGTATTAAAGTTTAGTGGGCAATTCCCTCCTGACTCTGAGGCTTTCTGGCCTTGTGTGTGTGTGTGTATGTGTGTATGTCTTTAGTGCCAGGCAGTGCCAGGCTTTCATGGCAGGAGATGCAGGAGGAACCACTTGTATGTAACGGCACAAACACTCCGCAGAAATAAGAATGGCCTGGCATTGGGAGTGCCGGTTATGAATGCATGTTGGCCATATGTGATGGGACCTTTGTAGCTGAGGATGCCTCCCAAGACTTTCTGTACAAATAGTTCTTGATTTACGACCACCCTAACCCCAAAATTTCCATTGCTAAGCAAGAGAGATATTAAGTGAGTTTTGCTCCATTTTACGACCATTTTTGCTACAATTGTTAAATGAATCGTGTGGTCATTAAGCGAATATGGCTTCACCCGTTGAATTTGCTTGTCAGAAGCTGGCTGGGAAGGTTACAAATAGTCACTTGACCCTGGGACAAGGCAAGTGTCATAAATACAGGTGCCCAAATTTTGATCATGTGACCACGGAGATGCTGCAAGGATCGTGTGAAAACTGGTCTCGAGTCATTTTTTTCAGTGCTGTTGTAACAATCACTAAATGAATGGGTATAAGTCGAGGACAACCTGCACAGGGATGAAATTCTGCCCACTTGAACCTCTGAGGCATTGAAAAGTGGATTCAACCAGGTTTTATATGCAAGGATGCTGATTTTTTATTATGATTATTGTAGGTAATTATATTTTAATTTTAGATCTTTTACATTTACCTTTATCATATGCCACCCATCTCTCAGAAATTTGACTCTTGGCATGTGTGTCTGTAGTTGAAAAAAGCTAACCCTCTGACTGGACCCTCACGGACGGCTTTCCCTCTGTCCTGCAGACTAAGAGCAGCGAGGATCTTTTAGCTGGAATGGCTGGAGGGATGAACGTCAGCAACGGTGTCAAGGGGGGGAAGAAGAGCGTGTCTACCTCCACGGCCCCTTCGGCTGCGGGGAATGCCACCCTGGGCCCCGCGGAGAGCAGATCCAAGCCCACCACAGGTACAGGTACAGACACAAAGTCCTTTTCTTAAGGCCACTGTGGTTTTTCTAGCACGGGATACTGGCTGCACGGTGCTAATTCTCATCGCTAGTAGTGCCCAGTTGACCTCGTCTGGGCTCAGAACCTAAGCAGGGATGGGAGACCACCATGTAATTTCAGTTTGGCTAGATTGACAAGTTAAAAACAATCGAAGTCAATGGCCAATCATGCCATTATTCCTAAGAAATCTACATGGCTGGGTCTCAACGAAGTGAACTCAGCTCAACTGCAAGGGGGCTTGTTCCTATGTTAGAGCCCACTATATGATATAACTATACGTTAGTCAGGCTAGGCTTAGTTAGTTAGTTAGGGTATATTCAGTTACCCAGGATCATGAATGTGTTGCCTGCTTGTGCATTTGTTAATATTTTAAAATTAAATTTATTGCTGACTATAACTGAACATGATACCTAAATTAACAAACAGAGGTTATTACTTACTTTCCATTCCACAACTACAAAATTATTTTGAATCCTGGTTTTGGTTTGGAGGAGAAGTAGTAAACAATAGAGCTTGTGAAAGGAAGATCTTGGAGCAGTCTTTGACTGCAAGCTGAACACGTGCAGTGCAGCTGGAAAAATGAAGGCCTCCATTTTGGCCATCTGAATTTGAAACTTTTCCCCAGAAACCCATCAGGGACCTACTAGGTTAGTGTTTCCCCTATTTGTAGTATATATAGAGCTATTCAGCATTAACTTTTATGGCTTATTGTGGTATGATTATTTTTATTATGTATGTTGCTATACACAATTATTTTCAATCATTAGCGTTTATAGTCACATGTTCCTGAAAAAAAATACCTTTTACAGAATTGTATCTTTACTATTTACTATTTATTGTAAATTTACTATTTAAAAAAAAAATACAGGTACACATTCTTCAACTAAGCGTAGCACTTCATCTGCAAATAAGGAATCCAGCTCTTCTCGGGAAAGAATTCGTGACCGTTCACGACCAACGCAAAGCAAAAAATTGCCCCCAGCTGGTCAGGCAAGCAGCGATCTCCTTCTTGCAAAACGTTCCCGCAGCCGTGCCAATCCAGATTCTGATGTTCGCATGAGCAAGTCAAAGTCAGACAATCAGATCAGTGATAAATCTGCTCTAGAGGCGAAAGTGAAAGATCTCTTGATGTTGGCCAAAACAAAAGACGTCGAGATCCTCCACTTAAGGAATGAACTAAGAGAGATGCGTGGTCAGCTGGGCCTTCATGAAGATCCCTTTGAGGGTGATGAAAAATCTGAGGATAAAGAAACAATTGTGATCCACCAGCCGACTGATGTAGAATCCGCCCTGCTGCAGTTGCAAGACCAAAACTCGGCCATACGAGAGGAGCTGAATCAGCTGAAAAATGAAAACCGGATGTTAAAGGATAGATTAAATGCCTTGGGTTTTTCTCTAGAGCAAAGATTGGATAATTCCGAAAAGCTGTTTGGTTACCAGTCTCTGAGCCCAGAAATGACAACTGGAAGCCACAGCGATGGTGGAGGAACTCTTACTTCCTCCGTAGAAGGTTCCGCTCCTGGTTCCATGGAAGATCTTCTAAGTCAGGATGAGAACACATTGATGGACAATCAACACAGTAACTCCATGGATAACTTAGATAGCGAGTGCAGTGAAGTGTACCAGCCGCTCACGTCCAGTGACGATGCTTTAGATGCTCCATCGTCTTCAGAGTCGGAAGGACTGCCGAGCATAGAGACATCAAGAAAAGGCAGCAGCGGCAACGCCAACGAAGTATCCGTGGCTTGTTTAACAGAACGGATTCATCAGATGGAAGAGAACCAGCATAGCACAGCGGAAGAACTTCAAGCAACTCTTCAGGAACTTGCAGATTTGCAGCAAATTACGCAGGAGTTGAACAGTGAGAATGAAAGGCTTGGAGAAGAAAAGGTAATCCTCATGGAATCTTTGTGCCAGCAAAGTGATAAGTTGGAACACTTTAGCCGACAAATTGAGTATTTCCGCTCTCTTTTAGACGAGCATCATATATCATATGTTATTGATGAAGACATGAAAAGTGGGCGCTACATGGAGCTAGAGCAACGTTTTATGGACCTTGCAGAGAATGCGCGTTTTGAAAGAGAGCAGCTTCTGGGTGTCCAGCAGCATCTAAGCAACACTTTGAAGATGGCCGAGCAAGACAACAAGGAAGCCCAGGAGATGATCGGGGCATTGAAGGAACGGAATCACCACATGGAGCGGATTCTTGACTCGGAGCAGAAGAACAAGGCCACTCTGGTGGCTGCCTTGGATGAGTACAAAGCTGCCGTCTCCAGTGACCAAATTGAGATGAACCGATTGAAAGCACAGCTGGAACATGAGAAGCAGAAAGTTGCTGAACTCTATTCTATACACAAATCGGGCGACAAGTCCGACATCCAGGACCTGCTAGAGAGCGTCAGGCTTGACAAAGAGAAAGCAGAGACATTGGCCGGCAACTTACAAGAAGAGCTTGCTCGGACACGTAACGATGCCAACCGTCTCCAAGATGCCATTGCAAAGGTAAAGGTCAAAAGTGTAATTGAATGGGGAGACTTCCCCAGGTGGGTGTTGAAAGTGGGAGGCAGACAGTCACTTAGAAGCGTCTGGGAGCCACATGCAGGACCTCCCAGAACTGCCCTTTGGTTCCCCCTGAAGTGCCTGGAGCTAGTGCTGAGCTACTCAGCCCCTGGACGGATCCTGCTTCAGGCCCACTCTGTCCTTCCAGGTTAAGCCTCACTTTCCCTCAGAAGAATAAAGGTAGGCGTGCCCTCCTTAGGTTTCAGCTGTGAGCAGGTATACAAACAGGTGTATCCAGTAGTGATGAGAGGGTTTTCAGTGGCGTGATAAATAAATTGGCCTGGGTAAACATTGGAACTAACCATAGTTGAATTTTCCACATAAGGAAGCGTACATGATCTGTATGTCTTAGTCACCAATCCTCTAGTTCAGTGTTTCTCAGGTGTGGCAGCTTGAAGATGTATGGACTTCAACTCCCAGAATTCCCCAGCAAGACTGACTGGGGAATTCTGGGAGTTGAAATCCACACGTCTTCAAGTTTCCAAGGCTGAGATACACTGAGCTAGTTAAAAGGGTTCTCGGGCAATTGGCAAAGAATGAGCTTGCCAGGCTGACACCTTGGAGGAGCTACTGGAGGGAGGAGAGGCTAAGCTGGAGAGGTGTCTGGTTCTCACATTGATAGGAAGCTAATAATTCTTTGCTGATTCAGTTATTTCAATATTTAGCCTGACGCCGTAAAGTGAGACTTCAGCCGAGGTAGCTGGCACTCTGCAGTGTGTGATACAAATTTAATCCTGGATGCAAACGTTGAAATCTATTTAGAAGAAGCAATGAGAGTCTGGCCATTTTTCTTAAACTAGATTGAAGATGAGTATAGAGCTTTCCAAGAAGAAGCCAAGAAGCAAATTGAGGATCTGAACATGTCCTTAGAGAAAACACGCGCAGAACTGGAGGAGAAGGAGACGGAAAGGAGTGACATGAAAGAAACCATATTTGAGTTGGAGGACGAAGTGGAGCAGCACCGAGCAGTGAAACTCCACGATAATCTCCTCCTCACTGACCTGGGCAGTAAGTGGCCGCTCCGCCTTCCCTGGGACCTTCGCGGTTACTTCTCTGGGGGGGGGGGCAGGACAGGTTCTTACAACCACACATTCATTTTCTTAATGTTCTTGTGGTGCTTTAATTGTTGTTAGTGTTATTTTCTAGTGGGGAAACAGATGTCCCCAGTTTGGCCATGATGCCTGAATTTGAATTAGTTGGGTTTTCACAAACCGCTTTCTCTAAAAAAAAGAGTTATGAAAGCGACGGTCAGTGATCTGGATGGGAAGGCAGATCCACCAGCCCAATTCTGTGATCGGATCTCTCCTTGGCCCAGATGAAATTAATCGTGGGATTGTAGTTGTACAAATTGTAATTAATTTTTATTGCTTTTTTTGGTTGATTTCATATGACTTTATGCTGTAATCATTATATTTGTCATGTGAAAATTATGAACACGGTACTGTAAGATTATAATTTAACAAGAAAAGAAGAATGCATAAAATAATTAAATCACAGTGTTGTGAACTAGAAAGAAAGTTGGAGATTATAGCTTATCTAATTCAGCCACCAGTGTAGGAATCCATTAAATCAGGGCTTTTCAACCTTTTCACCCATTGTACCACTTTTAGGATATGGCAACATCCGAGTACCACCAGTCGCCTAGCAAGGTGTCAAAAACTGATGAACCCCCCCCCCCCAAAAAAGGGAAAAAGTGATAAAGTACAGGTAGTCCTTGACTTACAACAGTTTGCTTAGTGACTGTTCGAAGTTACAATGGCACTGAAAAAAGTGCCCCCCAAGCCAGAGCCGAGCAAGACACCTGCCTGCCCACCTGGTGGCGCTCTTCCTCCTATCTGAGGTTTTCATTGTTGTGAGCGTTTCTGTTGAGGATTGGCAGTGGGGGTGGGGTGGGGGGGTTGGTTCCCCCCCCCCATCTGCTGGCTGGTTGCAGCAGGTTTTGGTCACTTCACATGACCCTGGGACACTGTGACCGTCCTAAATATGAATCAGTTGCCAAGCATCTGAATGTAAATCACAAGACCCTGGAGAGGCTGCAACATTCCAGCTGATCGGCGCTTCTTCTGGGCTCAGCAGAAGTGCCAGGATCGGTGCTGCTTTCCAACTGATCGGCGCTGCTTCTGGGCTCAGCAGAAGCACCAGGATCAGCGCCGAGCTCCAGCTGGAGCCTGGCGCTGATCCTGGCACTTCCACTGAGCCCTGACAGCCCCGAAGAAGCGCCGATCAGCTGGAAAGCGGCATTGATCCTGTTGCTTCCACTGAGCCCTGACAGCCCTGCAGCTCCAGCCGTCTCTCGCTCAGGCTTGTGCGGTGCTGCCACCGGTTCAGCTCATTCCCCTCCCCCACTACCACTTTTCTAGGATGGTCGCGTACCACCTGCCAGGTGCCAATGTACCACAGGTGGTATCCGTACCACTGGTTGAAAAGCCCTGCATTAAATCACCCCTTCAAAAGAGAACGATTCGGCTGTCATTGGAAAATTTCAGAGGGGGGAACTCTGTTATCTTGGGCAATCGATACATTTCTTAAGGTACTTATTGTTAAGAAATCCCATGAAATGTTCATCCAGAATGCCTAAAAAAATAGCCTTGTAATTAATTAAAACTTATTTTAATTAATGCATGGCAAGTGCAGTGCCCCACCCTGATCATTTCACCTCACACCTAATCAGACAAGCACAGAGGACAGTGAAGCTGCATTAGATGGCTCACACCTGCTCAGCTGGTCTCATACTGAGTGCAGCCAAGCCAGGCTTCCCTGTCCTCTATCCCTCTAGTTTGGGGTCTTCTGCAGATTTAATATAAGCCCTTTCTGTTTATCTTCTAGGCCAGTGATGGCGAACCTTTTAGAGACCGAGTGCCCAAAAAACGCCGCTCCGTCCCACCCGCTCCACCCCTGGCCCCGTCCTGCCCCACCTGCCGGGCCACCCACCGCCTCCATGGCCCAGATCGCCCAGGCGGCTCTGCAGTGCCACGGTGGCCACGCCCTCCGCTTGCGCCCCGCAGCATCATCTGCGTGCGACACAGCGCGAGGGCGGAGTCTTGTCCCTGCTGCCATGTGCTTGGCTGTGCTGCTCCGCGCTCGGAGGCGACTCTCCTCCAAGGGAGCTGCTGGTGAGAGGGCTGCGGGGGGGGGAGACGGGGCTGGGGCGACGGCACGCGTGCCCACAGAGAGGGCACCGAGTGCCGCCTCTGGCACACGTGCCATAGGTTCGCCGCCACTATTTTATACCGTTTAGAAAGATCTCAGACAACATAAGGCCAAGAAGGGAGCCTTGGAGGAGGATCTCTCTCAATAGCTTGCTGCAATTTGATACAGAATTATTTACAAACAGCCTTGCTTTTTTTCCTATTTCTTTTTTAAAACTTTTATTTACAATATAGCGAGAATATAAAAGCAAGATGCATATAACCTACTTTAATTAAATTATCTAGGAGACTTTTCAAATAAATGCAGATCTTTGGAAGTAGTATCTTCTAACCCACTCTGCTTTAAATATCAGGATGTCGTGAGAGAGAGTGCCAGCTGCTTTGCTGAGGTCAAGGCACGTTCCCTTGGCCCTCTTCTGAAGGTCTAACAACTTGCCACTAGCTGATAAAAAGAGGCAGAATTGTTCTGACCCAATTCTCGATGAATTTAGATAGGCTGCTGGTGACGGTAGTACTCTTACCTAAGCATATTGCTTGACTATTTGTTGTAATTTTTTGCTCAGTGCGACTGGTCTGTAGTTTTCCAGGTCCTCCTTCTTTTCCTTTTGGCATGTTTGAACTATGCTTACTCTTCTGTAGTCTGCTGGCATCTCACCGGTTCTCCAGATTTTTGTTTTTTTTAAAAAAAAACCATAGGTAATAGTTTTGAGTTCTGGTTCTGGGAAGGTAGTATGACAAGTTCTTACTATACCACCACTGTGACTCTTAAACTGTGCCCCCCCTTCCCCAGGTTCTGGCAGCCCCCCCCCTAAGCCTTGAAAGGCTAGCTTTTCCTCCAGCCCTGGAATAGAGGAAGGATGGAGCTTGAGGGTCGTAGGAATGGATGGGTTGGAGGTGGTGGGCCAGGAGCCCAGATTTCTTTTGGCTTGCTTTTATTATTGTTGCGAGCCGAGCCAGAATTGTGTTTTACAAGATAGGTGGCCCTTTAGATCTTTTAAATAAAGAAATGCATGATCCATTCTGCAGATTGGATCCTGCAACATTATCCCCATATATTCAAATATCATAGATGCAAATAAAGTAGAGATGGCAAAGATGTTTATAAAATCAACATTTTATAAATATGGGGATTATTAACCTGCACTTTGAATAGAGGTAAAATTATGCTTCTCTTTTTGAAACATTAAATTAAGAGTAAGGGAACAGATTTGAAAACCAATTTTAAGCGGACTAAAGTTTTATCAACACAGGCCCCAATTATTTTAGTATGGCATTGTATAAAATATTGTCGTGAGAGTTTTAGTGTTAAGATTAGAGATTTGGAATTTACTTGGCGCGGGATATGGAATGCAGGTAATTTTGGATGAAATGGATTATAGGCTTTTCGGTGGGAGGGGATATGGGAAGGGAAGAGTGAAATCAGGACATTCGACATGGGTCAGAATGGTGATAATTGGGGCTAGGGAAGTAGAAGAGGAAGAGGGTGAAGGAAGAGGGTGTGGAAGAGAGGCCATTTGGACAGTAAAGGAACTCCGGAACCCTGGGCCCTCCCTGCTCACCCAGGCATCTGGAGGCGAACTAGAGACAGCACTGCCAGAATCTGCCAGGGAAAGCCGGGCGTTGTTGTCCTGAGTGTTACAAAAGTGGAAGGGAGAGAGATTGCAGCTTTGAGCTTGCGGGGTCTGGCCTGAAATGAAGCTGGGAGGCAGGGATGAACGGCCCAGAGGCTGGATAAGAAGACTACGGAGTGCTGATAAGTGATTGGAGAGAGGTACGTAGTCTTGGCTTGGCTGGGAAGAACGTGAAAGAGGCTTTCTCTGCTGTGCTCTCCAGGGGGTGCTGAGGAAAAGGAAGGGGCCGGGAGGAGAGCTCTGGTAGGGTTGAGGAGCACTTCCCAGCCTGAGATGTTTGAGGAAGATTGGGGAGAATCTTTCATTTGATAGGCAGGCGAGGCAAGGCAAGACGAAGGGTTGGAAGGGATGTAATTAACCAGCCTCCTCTGGAGAAGTGACCACTCAAGGTGGCTAATACTGGTAGAGCGAAATAAGAGGGCGGGTCTGGTTCTCCCTGCGTTGTGTCAGCCTTGCGTGGGAGTCCAAACAAGAAACACACCCAGGCGAACTAATCCTACTTTATGGTAAGCTTACATTAACAGAACCCTGCAAGGCTGAAAGTTCCCATCCTCTCTTTTTAGTCTCCGGGAAAGTAGGCAGGGTCCCTTCTGAAAGGCTTCCCCTGCTTTCCCCCATCTGCAGACTGAGCTGCCTCCTCTGATCAGGGCTGCAGGTCTTCCCCTCGTCTCCAAAGGCTGTTCCACGTGCCATTGCAGGTTGTCCGGGTGGGGCCTGAGTTGAAACCACGATGGGCTGGGGAAGATATGGCGGCAGACGCAGGGAAGGCCATTCACACTTTTCTCCAGGTGCCTTCTGCAGGTGGCTGTCCTGCAGAAAAGGGTGAATGGCCTAGACTGCCAACCCCCCCCAGAGAAATGAAGGACGGTCCTGTCAGTTGTCGTTTCTTCTTTCCCTCCCCCAGAGAGCTGAGAGATCTGAACACAGAGGGGATACTCCCGGTGGGAAAGGCTCTCTGCTGCACGGTGAGCTCTCTCCAGATGTCGCTGCCCCGGTTACCAGTTCCAAAAGCCCTCAGGATCCGGACAGCCTTGCATAGCAGAGCACTAGTGTCTCCTGAGGGAGAGATTTCGCTCACAGGGCTATTTAAACCTGGAGACCAGCACAAAGTTTCATTGATACCCAGGTGGTTTGTTTTCCCAACTGGAGTCAGCAAAACTAACTTAAGAAGGGCAGGGTGCAACCTACCTCTTCAGGGTCATGCAAGTTAGAATATGCATGGGATTGCGTATAGCATCAGCAGGTGAGATGTTTACTGAGGTAATTAAGGGAGAACAAGGAAGTAATGGAGAACAGTAGCTTCTTTTTAGAAGGCTACTATTCAACTGTCTTGGTTCCCAGGGCTCTGCCCACAACCTGGTGTCTTCTCCTGGCTTTCTCAACGTTCCTTCACCCTCCAGGCCATCTGAGGCTAGGCTGAAGGTTGCTTGTTTCTCAAGTCCCTGGGAAGGTAACAAGGGAGGTCCAAACAGCATTGTGTCTTCTCCTACAGTCTCAGGCATCCCCTTGCCAGGGCTGCATCTGCCCACGCAGTGAGAAGATCTTGGGGAGGCTTGTGAGGTGACAGGTCTTCTCTGTCATGTCCCTCCACTCCAGGTTTAGAACTGCCTCCCCCCTCCCCCATTTTTAGAAGGCTTGAAAGATGGTTTCATTTTACTGGGCTTTCAGTTTATAGAATTAGTGGTATCCATCTTGGGTAGGAGAATAGAATAGAATAGAATAGAATAGAATAGAATAGAATAGAATAGAATAGAATAGAATAGAATAGAATAGAACCCTGAAGGTCTTCTAGTCCAGCCCCCCCCCCCCCCCCCAAGAAGGAGAACCTATATCATATCAGACAAGTGACTGTCCAGTCTCTTCTTAAAAACCTCCAGTGATGGAGCACCCCTGATTTCTGAAGGCAAGCTGTAATTGTCCTCACTGTTAGGAACTTTCTCCTTAATTCCTGGTTGCTTCTCTATTTGATCAGTTTCCAACCATTGTTTCTTGTCCTTCCCTGTGGTGCTTTAGTGAATAATTTAACCCCCTCTTCAAATACTGGAACACTGCTATCATGTCTCCCCTATTTCTTCTTTTCTTTAGACTAGCCAACCCAAGTTCTGTAGCCTTCTTCATATGTTTTAGTCTCCAGGCCTTTGATCATTTTAGTTGCTCTTCACTGAACTTTTTCCAAGGTCTCAACATCTTTTTTGTAGTATGGTGACCAAAATTGGCTGCAGTATTCCAGGTGTGGTCTCACTAGGGGTTTATAAAGCGGTACTAATACTTCATGTGATCTTGATTCTATGCCTCTGTTTATACAACCCAGGATTGTATTAGCTTTTTTGGCTACTACTGCACACTGCTGGCTCATGGTCAAGTGATCGTCCACTAGGACTCCAAGGTCCCTCTCACAGTTACTGTTTTTGAGCCAGGTCTCACCCAATCTATACTTGTACCTTTGGTTTTCCCTGCCTAAATGTAAGACTTTGCTTTTCTCCACATTGAAACTCATTTTGTTGGATAGGGCCCATTGTTCAAGTTTGTCAAGATTTTTTTGGATCCTGAGTTTGTCTTTTGGAGTATTGGCTACTCCTGTCAGTTTAGTATAATCTGCAAATTTGATGAGTTCCCCTTCAATTCCCTCATCTAAGTCATTTATGAAGATACATTATTTGATTTGTTACTCCTTTTATTCTTACAATTTATGATTATTTTTGCTTTTATAATTTATCATGTTTGTTATATTTTACCCATTACTTCAGTTTTGAGAGGTCTTTAAAAACTATTACATAAATTTTGGAGTTTTATCCCCCCCCCCGCATAAAATTAAAGATCAACTTTACTTAAACCAGTCATTAAAATTATCTGTGTTAGGGAAAATTGCATCTTAAAATAATTTAGGAATATTAGCCATTACACCTTTCTCAAACATTGCCAGTCTCTGGAAACTCTGGAATTCATAAGAAATATTTTTTTCTAAAATTTGTATTCAGAAAGGAAAAAACTGCATATAAGTAGAAAAGCGCATCTTAAACCTTCGGAGGAGGATGCAGGTTCACAATTTTATAGCTTTTCAAATGAAATGTAATGTTTCCATTACATTGAATAATAAATTTTGAAAGTAAGTAGAGATTTAAAAAAACCGTATATATAATTCAGTTCCCTTTTCTGAACAAGAGAGAGCCTTAAATGGGATGAAGAGAATGTTTTATAGAAAGGGGGAGTGTTACACTTTCGTTAGAGCAGGGGTTCTCAACCTTGGCAACTTTAAGACTTGTGGACTACAACTCCCAGAATTCCTCAGCCAGCTTTGCGTTAGAGTAAGTGGTTGAGAAAATTAGCAGTGTATCTTTCCCCATTAAGGCTCTGTTGGAAAACACTCTTGTCTGGAAAATGTAAAGGTTGGCTCCCCAGGTGACTGAATGTGCTTTCCTATCCTGCAGGGGGCAGCAAAGCTGCCTGGCTTGATTAGATGCCCTCCTTACCCTGCCAGTCTTGAGTGGGTCATTTCTTCCTTGGCTGTTTCTGTTTATCTGGTGTTGATTTCTACCAAATTTGTCTCACAAATTTAGAAGTATTGTAGGCAATGAGACAAAGAAATAAATGTGTATCCATTTGTTTTAAACCAGGTGGAATAATATCTAAAACAGTGTTTCTCAACCTTGACAATTTTAAGGCATGTGGACTTCAACTCCCAGAATTCCACAGCCAGCATTGCTGGCTGTGGAATTCTGGGAGTTGAAGTCCACATGCCTTAAAATTGTCAAGGTTGAGAAACACTGATCTAAAAGATGGAAGTTGAAAATCTTAACATTTTATGACTAAGCTGGTTACAGTATCGACACGGTCTTGCATACCTCAGAGATTAAGATGTAAAGGAAATAATTTTACAAACACTAATGAAAAAGGAACGTAAATATAGAAAGGTGTTCCAAATTGGGTCTTTGCTTTCCCCTTGAACTTTTCACTAGATGGCAGTCTTAGAATTTGAAAGCTGGTATCATAAGCTGGAAAGCCAAACTTTGAAAGACGGTGGCTAACCTGTCTTAATAGCTGCTTTTGAGGAAAACTGCACTACTTGAAAAGTTAATCTGAAACAAACATATTTTGTCCTAAGGAACTTACATTAAAATTCAGCAGTGCGCTTACATGTTGACATAAAATTAGGGATGTGAGTTGAATCCCAAGAGAGATGGTGGTCTTATGCTTTTGCCATACAGCACGCAATCTGAGGTGTTTAGGATACCATACTAATATACTTACCTCTCCCAAGACATCTTCATTATTTTTATACATGAGGGGTACCTATTTTATATAACAGTTTTGCAGTCTATCCAGAGAACTTTGGTTGTTAGTCACATTAAAAATATAAATGCAGGAAATATGTTCAGGTTTATTGTTAAATCCTGTGCTATTTTTTATTTGCTAGACACAGTTAAGAAGCTTCAGGATCAAAAACATGACATGGAAAGAGAGATCAAGACCCTGCACAGGCGGCTGAGGGTAAGTCGTCATGTTTGTTGGGCTGGGGGGTGGGGAACTGGTCCAAAATCTCCCAGCCGGCTTTCATGCATAAGATGGAAATTCAACTCACGGTCTCCCATTTCCTAGCCTGGTGCCTTAACCACTAGTGCAGGGGTAGGCAACCTCGACTCTTTTATGACTCAATGACTTCAACTCCCAGAATTCCTGAGTCAGCTACTCAGGAATTCTGGGAGTTGAAGTCCATGAGTCATAAAAGAGCCGAGGTTGCCTACCCCTGTGCTAGACCAAAGTGGCTCCTTATTTAGTCCAATTACCACCTTGTTCTTTTCCGTAATGGCTTGAAAGAATGCATGTCTCTTCTGCACTTCTTTATTCATAGATTCATAAGGAACTACTTCAGTCATTAGATCCCTCCTTTGGGTAGGAATCCAGAGCTGAGGGATGCTGGATGCCTGCTAAGACTCCATTTGAGCACATTCAGTGAAGGGAGACTGTCATCTCTCATGGTCCTCCATTCTGCTCTCAAACTGCTCCTACCGAAAGGGAGATCAGACCAACACAGAATACACATTGGAATGGGAACCATCCCTGCCTTGGGTGTTTTGCTGCCACAGTGTATGCTGGATCATATTCAGTAACTGATCAACTACCGTCACAAGATCTTGCCACAGTGCTGCTGTTAAATGAAAGATTCCTTACCTTTGAACTCTGTCTTTCATTTCAACTTCACCTTGTTTCTGTTAAATTCCATAGTGGTATTTTCAGCCCGTTTCTCTAAGCTGTCGTGGTCTTTTTGAAAGTTGTTTCTGTGTTCCGGGATCTGTGCTATCTGTGCATTGAATTTTGCTTCATTTCAGGCTTACTAAGCCATCTTTCCACCTCCTCATTCACATTGCTAATATAAATACTGAAGGGCCCTGGACTGAATTTTGTATCACCCATTCCCTCCAATTTGATAAGAACACTGAGAAGGGCATGTTGTCTGACTTTTGAGCCAGCTCCAGAGCCACTTAATTACCTTGCCATTCAGCCCACACTTGCTGATTTACATGCCATGGGATGTTTTGTCAAATAGTTTGCTATAATCAAGTGCAATTTATCTGTTGCACTTACGCTACTAAGAAATTTCCAGATCAAAAAATAAGATTCATCTGGAATAACTTATTTTTGACCATTTTTTTTTTAAAAAAATTGACATCTTGTTTTCAAAGTGTTTACCAATCAAATTCTCATCCTAGAGTTCTTCAAGGTATTTGACTTTCTGACTGTTTGAAGTTACGACAGCCCTCCCCGGGGCTACTTAGGATCGGATTGGAAGTATAGGATTTTAAATTCATTCAGCCTAATTGTGTATTCCTTCACTCCAGTGTTCCTCAAAGTGTGGATTGCAAACCCCAAGAAAATGGCAGAAGAGTTGTTGGGAGAGGGCAGGGGATTATCATGAGAGAGTGCCACCCTGCCAGGCCTTCCCAAGAAGGCTGTCACACTTGCAATCAGCAGCTGTTTGGGGTTTCATCCCCCCCCCCCAGCTGAGCACACACTCTGAAAAGATGCCTCTTTCTGTTGTCTCTTCCTCTTCCGGTTGAATTGCACGCCTGTCAGTTCCCTCCCTGGGAACCTGCTGCTTGATCCCTGCTTATTTTCAGGAAGAGTCTGCAGAGTGGCGCCAGTTTCAAGCAGACTTGCAGACTGCTGTGGTCATTGCTAATGACATAAAATCTGAAGCCCAGGAAGAAATTGGAGACTTAAAGCGCAGGCTGCATGAAGCTCAAGAAAAGAATGAAAAGCTCACCAAAGAGCTCGAGGAAATAAAATCACGCAAGTATGTTAATGAAATTTAATTATCATTATCATTTATAATTTATTTATGGCAATTTCTTACATTTCTGAAAGCTGCACAGCACGCAATTGCTGAACACGAGAGAATATCGAATAACTTACAGTTACAAATAAGTTACAAAAAGCAACTTTTTGCTCATCTGTTAGAGGAGGTTTATAAAAATGATAAATTTATTAAAATCCTTTTTTCCCCCCACTGCGGATTGTCCTCAACTTACAACTGATTGCTCAGTGACCACTTGAAGTTCCAACAGCCACACACACCCCGGTGGTCACACAGTCGTAGTTTGGGTGCTCAGCAACCAGCATGCATTCATGGTTGTTTGCAGCGTCCCCTGGTCACGTCGCCACCATTTACAACATTTTTTGCCAGAAACCAGCATTTGCTTCTGATTTCCAGGAAAGTCCCATTCTGGACAATGAATCTGCTTAATAAGTGCCATCAAAAAAGGCGGTAAAATCAGGCTAAGTCGCATAGTCACCTGCTTAACAACCAACACGGCTTCCAGGCTCAATCACTGTCGTAAATTGCAGACTCCCTATATAGGTAACCCTCAATTTACAACCACAGGTGGGACCAGAATTTCCGTAGCCAAGCAAGGCGATTGTTAAATGACTTGCGTCCAATTTTACATTATTATTTTTTTTGCCATGTAAAGCAAATCACTGCAGTTGTTAAGTGAATCACATGTCATTAAGCGAATCTGGCTTCTCCCATTGATTTTGCTTGTTGGAAGCCGAATGGGATCCTGGGATGCTGCAGTCGTCATAAGTACAGCTGAACCTTTGTCATGTGGCTGTGGGGGTGGTGCAGCAGTCATAAATGTGAGGAATGGTCCCATGTCACCATTGCAGTGCCGTTGTAACTTTGGAACAGTGATTAAATGAATGGTTGTAAGTGGAGGACCACCTGTAGTTCTCTCCAGTCACTGGGCATTTTTCCCCTCTCATCTTTTCTAAGAAGATGTGATGAAATGGTGAGGCTGATCTTGGAGTCCTCCTGGCATTTGGACTGGCCCTGCATCTATTCATGCCCCACCCCCCTCTTTGAGTCTGAAAGAAGGGAAACGAACCCGAGCTGAGAAAGGGGGGGTTCCTGATCCCCTCCCTCTTCCTCCAACTTGTCTCCACCACTTGAGTGGTCCATCCCTTCGCTCTGGGGCTGGGTGGGGCTGGCCTTCTCTCTCTCCCCCACTCCACACTCACAGGACACATGGGGCTCGGACTTTGGATACACTCAGTCTCTTTACCAGAGTGAATGAATTAGAGTCACCTAAATTTTCAGTGTTTTCTTCATTTACAGATTTTTCTAATATTAATTTCTTCATCTGGGGAAAAAAAACCAGTTGCAGTTTCTGTGGATTCAAATTGTGGCTATTTAGGATCATACAAAACTGAAATGGAAAACGAAACTAGGAGTCATACTAAGTAAAACATAGTTAAAAGAGTGGCTTGAAATCTTTGTTACACCCCTTAATGGAGAGCGTAGGAAGAGCTGGTAGCAGTGCTTGTGATGTGTCCGCATTGAAGTTGGTGATGTGTCCAGTGGCGCAAAGTATGCAATGCTGCAAAATTATGTGCACCGCTGGTACGTGACGTGCCGGAACCCTGGACTAAAACAAACTTGATGCTGTCAGAAAAAAAAGGTCAGCCCAAACATTGATTTTCTCAGAATTACTGAACTGAGTAGACTAGAAAGGGCCAGTTGACATCAGCGCTGTCATTGAGGACGAGAAAGAGAGAGAATAACCAAGATTATCAAGAGAAAGAGATGGGCTCTCCACACCAGTCTTCCTCTAAGGCAGACATGTCAAACACAAGGCCCCGGGGGCCGGATGCAGCCCACGAAGTGGTTTCATGTGGCCCGCAAAGCCATCCCGGAAACAGTGAGGGAATGGCCCCCGCTGCCTTGGCCCTGACCCAGGCCGGCCAGGAGCCAATGTACAATTTTGTGGTGGCCATCTTGGCACTTGCCCCAGTGGACCATGCCTTGGCACTTGCCCCGGTCCCACCCCCTTCTGCCAGAGACCCTCATATCTGTCCCACTCCTGCCCAGGCCCCCATAGGCACCCTGGACGTGAATGATGTAGAATTGGCCATGCCCACTCCATCCACGCCCACCCAGTAGGCTGTACCCACTCTGGCCACACCCACCTGGCACCCCCAGGGCAACCACAATGCTGATGCGGCCCTCCGTGAAATTGAGTTTGACACCCCTGCTTTTAATTGGCATTAAAAGCCAATTGCAATTCCCATAAGATCTTCTCTCCTTAATTTCACTAGGAAATTTCTTTTTGATTCTTCTGTCAGAGCCTCCTGTCTCTTTTGTTTTGAAAAACTGCCTGAAAGAAAATCCTCTTTTAACAGAGCCTGAGTTTCTAAAACTTCTGCTCGCTGCCTCTGTTAGTGAGTGAGCGAGTGCAGGGCTTGAAGCCGGGCTAAGGAGTCACCCGTACATGGAGGCCGTCACAGTCAGAACCACCTGCTGAGATTCAGAACAGAAACTCCCCGTTTGCTGTGGAAAATTGGCAGTCAGTTGCTAAATATTTGTCACAAAACATCTCTAGAATGTTAATGGCTAGTTATCTAGATTTTTCTAATCTTCTATTTTTTAAAAAATGATGAATGTTTAGGACCTGTGCAAGAACATTATATAAAGTTCTGTGTTAGAAGTACTTTGGAATTGATTTGTTTACTTTATATTTGTGTCCCTTTTCAAAATTTGCTTTGAAAATTGGTATTGCGTAACAATCTGTTTATAGTTTTAAGAAATGTTCATTGAGATAGTGATGGCAAAAGTATATATGAATGTGATGTCCCTTCCCTGCTACGCCCTTTATCCCCATTTTTTCACCTCTTAAGAGCATCTGACTGAGCAGTGCCTGATTCCCCCTCCCCCATTTACTCATGTATTAAATACAAAACACGCTCTTTTTGCTTTAGCTATAGCGCTCTCTTTCTTCAGCACATTTATGGATCACCACATGGAAGATGCCTTGATAGTACTTCAAAACATGAAAAAATGCTTCTTCATTCCAAAATGCTCCCATTTTGTCTTAGTTCCATGTATTTCATGTTGTAAAAGGGGACGTGCTTGTTACTTCCCTTAAGATGTTTAGCCGTTGAAAAGATGAGGCAATAATCTGGTCCCTGCATCCTTCAGACACACTGTATGCTCTGCACTCAAGCTGTTGTTGCCAGGGTCACAGAGGCTACTCAGTCAGACCTTTGAACGTGCATCTTGTTGGGTTTCCTGTGACACGTAGGCAAGAAGAGGAACGTGGCCGAGTTTACAACTACATGAATGCTGTGGAAAGAGACTTGGCAGCTCTGCGGCAAGGCATGGGGGCGAGCCGGAGGTCCTCCACGTCTTCGGAACCGACCCCCACGGTCAAAACCCTCATCAAGTCCTTTGATAGCGCCTCACAAGGTAATTTTTCTTTAAGGAGCTGCATAAAATTAGTGAAACATTATACAGGAACTTCACTTCAGACTCTTAATCCCACAGGGTGATTTGATGATAAATCAAGCATTATTTTACTAGATGTATTTTGTTTTGTTTTCTTTCTGCCTTTAATTTGTGCATCTTGTGATTCCCCATTGCTTGCCTGTACTCTGCATAACCCTACTTGGTCCCAAAGGGTTTACTGGGATGAGTCGATCTCCGTGTAGGAGTTACAGAAGAAAAGGGGACCAATAAAGTGGCTGAAAGGAAACCGCAGCTCCAATGGGACAAATGCCTTCCCAAATAAGGTCATCACTAATGGGCATCTGTTTTAAAATAGATATGTATTCTGTAGCAGTTTTTAAAAATACAGAGAAAATAACTTATAGCACAACAAAAACAATAAGAACGAACAGCAAAGAGAAACATTACTAAGAAAGGTTATATACAGCCATCCAGTGAGTAATCTAATATTTAAGTTCTTTTAACAACCCTCCCAAAAAAGAATAAACAAAAAATAATTGTCAAAAATTAAAGGAGTTGCACATTTCCTGAATTCAGTCCTTGAAGCATGGAGGAATAGCACTTTTCCAGTCTCTCGGTGTAATTTACTTGGCTATTTCCCACAACCAATATAACCAAATTTCCACAAAAATAGACATATTTTTGGAATATGATTAGAACATTTATCCACATGTAGTTATATATATTACAGCATTATTCCAGAAAGGAACCAGTTTAAATCCCAATGATTGGGCAGTATACAAATTGCTGGAAGCATTTAAAAACAAGGAAGCAACAACAAAAACAAATAAAAATGGCAGAAATGACAAAAATGGGGTAAGAATAAAGAAAACAGAGCTCAAAAATAGGTCATCTCTGGATGTTTTTTGAGACTACTAAAGCTTCTGGTTCATCTGTCAAAGCATTTTAATTGACAGATGCCCTAGGAAAGTACCAATTTAGCCTCTTTAGATCTAAGTGTCATGGACCCATCAGGGGGTCTCATTCATCTTAGTATCATTTAATTTTCCCATTGTGTGCACCAATTAAATTCTTACTTTGTCTCTATTATTTTTACTTCAGTCTGTATTCTAGGAGTAAAAGCAGCACTAAAAGTAAACAATCCACCCTTACAGTAAATTGTTCTACATTGATCTGCTCGAGGTTTAAAGTTCTGACTGTGAAGGAACCAGTTGAAACGTATTAGACTTAGGCAGACAGAAGGAAATTTAAAAACTCCAGTGCTGCAAGAGGTGTCCATGCTGGGGGGAATGGAGGGCTTATGGGGCAGCACCTGTGGCTGTGTAGACGGCGCCTTCTTGAACATCCCCCTGAAATGCAAATTCCGGGGAATTTTCTTTGCCCTCTTCAGGGCAGACCTTACCTTAAGAAAGCAGTGAAAGTGTCCAGGCTGCCTGGAGGCACACAGAAAGAGACACAACTTCCTCGCCAACCATGCTTGTTTCTGTTTACTTGATAATGAGAAAAGGTGGAGAGGGTTTCTTCTAGGATATTTGTGCCATTAGATATAAACCTGGACCCGCTTTCTTCTTCCCTAGTTCCTAGTCCTGCTGGAGCTACAATTCCCCGAACTCCACTCAGCCCAAGTCCTCTGAAAACCCCTCCGGCAGCTGCCGTCTCCCCCATGCAGGTCAGTGCTTTTGCGGGTTTGGTCCAGCCTGACGCAGGTTGGCAACAGGGACGGCTTTGCACAGAGAAAAGAAACTGAATGTTTTTTCTGGAAAGCCTGTCTTAGGTTCGGCTTCCCATAGTAATACCCAAACAACATCAATTGTGTGGCTCCTGCTGTCTGTTTGGACCGGCAGTGCCTGAGATCAGAAATCGGGGAGCCCTTTCAGCAGTGGATTAAGTGAGAAGTAGAAATGGGGGCGAACCCTCTAGCTTGTTATTTGTTCCTGTTTTCACAAGTACCCCTAGTCGGGAATACCAGCAATATAGGAAGTCCTTGTTTAACAACCAAAATTGGGATAGCAACTTGATTGCTTAGCGACACAGTTATTAAGCAAGACATCACATGAGCACAATGTGATTGCCAGCTGCTCCATGGCCTCTACACAGCCCACTGGGCAGCCTGCAAATGGCGATCTCCTGATTGCAGGATCTGGCAACGGTTGTAAATGTGAGGATTGGTCATAAAGTTACTTTTTAAGCACTATTGTAACTTTGAACAGTCGCTAAGTAGGGCTGTCATTAAGCAAGGACCATCTGCATAATACTTGAGAGAGATTGGCTTGTCCCCAATTGCTTCTGCCTACCCAGTGCAGCTGAGCGGGTGCTCTCCATTAAATATTGGCATCTTGTGGGGCCTGTTAGGGCCCCACTCTCTGGAACGGGATCTCCCCCCCAAAGATCAGGACTTTCTCTCCTGGTGTTCCAGAACGCTTTGGAAACCTTCCTTTGGGTTTGTGCTTGATGCTTGTCATTTGCTTAATGTCCGTCTTTGGTCTTCTAGATTTTGTTCTTTATTAGAGTATGCTAATCTGGGCTGTTGGCTTGTTTTAATATTTTTAGCTGCTTTTGTATCTTTTCACATTTTGTACCTCACCCAAAGTCTACTGGGGTTGGGCAGCCAATAAATTCAAATAAATAATGGCTAAACCGGGCTTCATGACCGCCAGGCTAGCCTACATCTGGTTTGCCTGACAGATTCCTGCAAAGGTTCCTTAAGGTACCAATTCAGTCTTCACCACTGTGAATATAATGATTAATTATAATGTAATTAAAATTAAGAAGAAGCTTCCTGACAGTGAGGACAATCAACCAGTGGAACAGCTTGCCTCCAGAAATCGTGGGCGCTCCATCACTGGAGATTTTCAAGAAGAGGCTAGACAGTCACTTGTCTGAGATGGTATAGGTCAGTGGTGGCGAACCTATGGCACGGGTACCAGAGGCGGCACTCAGAGCCCTCTCTGTGGGCACGGGCGCCGTTGCCCCAGTCCTAGGCCTTCAGCTGGGTTTTATAAAACCTTTTCGCTTTAGGCCTCCGCCGCCATGTGCAAAAAAAAAAAAAGGTTCAATCAGTCAATTTCAACTTCTCACGGGAAAAAAAAAGATCTGGCAAAGTTGGAATTGATTGATTGAACTTTTTAGTCCCACCCAGTCTGCCGTTACCACTGCAGCCACGCCCAGCCAATGGGCCACACCCAGCCAATGGGCCGCACCAACCTGGCACTCGACGATGCATAAGTGGGTTTTGGGTTGCAGTTTAGGCACTCAATCTCTAAAAGATTCGCCATCACTGGTATAGGTCCTCCTGCTTGAGCAGGGGGCTGGACTAGAAGGCCTCCAAGGTCCCTTCCAGCTCTATTCTATTCTAATTAATATACTCAATTACCCTCTAGGGAATCTTGAAACAAGGTCTCCAGCGAAGACTGACAACCACAATCTTTGTAACAAGTCATTTATCTTATCTACTGATGGACCTGCGACTGAGAGTTCAGCATAAGCTGATGGCTCAGCTAGTTTTGAACTTGATCTTCTGCCATTACATGCTCAACTAAATCATTATGACCTACTGGGGTTAGTGGTGCCTCTCTTGGAGATGTGTTTAAAATTCAAATAGGAGCATAATATTCAAGTGGTGAATGACAACGGTTGAGATTTAGTAAACTGGTTCCTTTTCTCAAAAATAATTTTCCCCCTTTCAGAGACACTCCATCAGTGGACCAATATCTGCTTCTAAGCCGCTTGCTACTTTATCAGACAAAAGGTCCAGCTATGCGGAAATTCCAGTTCAAGGTAAGAGGCGTCTTTTGCTATGAACATCCCCAGCACATTTTTAGAACCCTCCAGAGTCTTCCATGGTTCAGAAACAGGCACTGACGGGGGTTGAGCTGGAAGGACCTTTGCAGAAGGCAGATCAGCTCCACTTCTTTATCCGAAGGTAGAGTCACTGACCGCCTGCGATACCTTTCTAAGGCTTGGCTAGGCTGAATTGTGGCTTGTTGCCTGTCTCTGCTGGATCGTTCCAGAATACGAGAGTGGTTTGTCTTTGAAACGTCTTCTGATGATGGCTGAGCCCAAAGCGAGACACTTCACTGCTTTTGAAAGATTATTCAGAAGGCTCCGACTCCAAATTCAAATTTTCCTCTGTATAGAGACCTCCTCCTGCACAGTTCTCGGACACAACCTACTTTCCCTATTCACTTTTGCTACCATTAGGACAGTATTTCTTGAACAAAAAAAATGTGACAATACCAAACTAGAATGTTTATTTCTCCGTTTCCAAATATTTTTCTGGTGCTTGGTAGGTTTACTTATCAACTTTCCCTTTCCTTCTTACCCTTCCGGTAAGAATGAATGGTTCTCAGATCTGGGTGTAGCTCTTTGATTTATGGCTGGGCTTTTTAAAATAGACTTTCACAAGAATAGTTTTCATGTGAACAAGGAATAGGCTTCCTTTTGAACCTGGACAAAGAACAGCACAGTATCAACAATGGAAATTCTTCCACCACTTAAAATAATACTTTGTTCTAGTCTTTTTTGGTTGTTTTTTGCATGCCATTGGCATTATTTAATATACACGGGAAAGTAAATTGGAATCTAAATTGGTGTACTGTATACAGAAATGAGAAAGGGCCCTGCCAGCCAAACGATTGCATCAGCAGCATTTCCTTCTGCCCTAGATCAGAAAATACTACACAACTGGGTTTTATGCAGCACCATGTGATTTATTTTACCTCACCACTTTCATCCCGTTCTTTTAATTGAAAAATAATGTTCAGTGTGGTTTGGAACAAAACATTCCAAAATTAAAATTAAACAAATGCAGTGCAATAGAAAGAAGCAGGGTGATAAACTAGAGAAAAGAAGCTACAGTACATATGCTAACAATTAGGACATAATCAGGTTCTCAGTAGAACAAAAGTATATTTAGCCTGGGGAAGAAGGTATTTGAGAGAAAAGAAAAGCCAATTTTTGCTTGCAGAGTAATTTCCCAGCCAAGTTGCAGCCCCAGAAAAACGCTGCCTTAACAGCCCAAGTGACCACTTCTTCACAGGTGAAGGCAACGTGATTCTCCTCTGGACTTTAAAGGTTAGATGAAAAGTCTCATGTTTGGGACCCACCACACATGAAGCAGTAAGCCGGCTTTCACGTAAGGGCACACGGGCATACACACAAGCACTTGGTCTTTATTGTATTGGGCCATCCACTCTGTCACCTCTCCCTGCAGGCAGGATCAGGTCAGGATTGTGCTGAGGTTGAGATGACCTTTCCTCCTTCCCTTTCTGTGCAGATCATTTGCTGAGAACTTCTTCTACTAGCAGACCAGCTTCTCTGCCAAGAGTCCCTGCGATGGAAAGTGCTAAATCTCTCTCTGGTAATAATGTGGTAGTGGAATAATGACGGGTACTGTGGAGGCAAGCAATTCTTCGCACACTGTTGTGAATGCCCTTAGAAAATGTACATTTGTGAGAGTATCCCTTAGGACTTCTGGATATGTTGGTATGAAGGGCCACTTTGTTATAATATTGTTGGTTTGTGAAATAACACACAGAAATGGGTGAATCTCAACCCTAGCTTTAGTCCAGGGGCCTTCAAACTTGGCCCTTTTATGACTTGTGGACTTCAACTCCCAGAATTCCTCAGCCAGCGTGCCTGGCTAAGGAATTCTGGGAGTTGAAGTCCACAAGTCAAAAGGGCCAAGATTGAAGACCCCTGCTTTAGTCCAATCCCAGTGAATGCGGTTAACAGGTGATGTGTAAAGAAAATGGTTATTGCTATGTGACGCTCTAGATAGATTAAAGCAAACACATGAGAGTTGTTCCTTGCCAAACACATTGTGAGATATTGTATGTGGAATAGAGCTTCTACAACTTAAGATCATAGAGTAAGTGCAATGAAATAAAAATGGTTTCTTTCTGAATAACATCTTAAGCTCTTAGAGTATGTTCTTTGAAGTTCTGGAACAAGCATAGATCTTGCTCCTTTGGCCAAACTCAGTGGCAGCAGCATCTACTGTCACCGGGGTTGCTAATGGAACTGAAATGCTCAGATTGCAAATGTAGGATCCAGCATGAAATTGAACACCAGGCTTTCCAATTTTCCATTCAAGTGTCCCGCCGAAGCAGCGAAGAAATCAAACGGGAAATGACCGCTCCCGATGGAACATCTCCAGCCTCCCTCGTAGCAATTGGGACCGCTTCACCACAACTGTCGCTCTCATCTTCACCAACAGCATCGGTCACTCCTACAACACGGAATCGAATAAGGTACAGCTCATTGCTCCTTTCCATTCGGGCCCTGACCAGCAGAACTAGTGAGGTTCATCACTGGGACCCCCAATTGGGCTTCCTAACCCTGAGCATGCCAGCAAGTGCTGACTGGCACCTGCCTCGCCACTTGGGAGCATGTCTGCATTGTTGGAGCATTCGCTGGCCTTTACTTGTGTACTTTTGAAGAATCCCCTGGGCTGGATGCCGGGCATTCTCCCCTCTTGCCTCTGGCTAGTTGCTGTTAATCCACATCATAGTGCAAAAATGCCTCTCTCTCATTCCTGCACACTTTGAAATCCGTGGCTGCATCAGGAGTGAATGAGCTTAGTGTGAGCTCCTTAATGGTGGATGAAGTCTATTTGGAAGTTAGATACTGCAACAAACAGCAGTCTGAGACGACCGCAATAGTCCATTGAAGGGAACTTAAGACATGAGTTTCTGCTCAAATGCTTTGGTGCTCCGGGAAAGAAGAAAAGTCAGTTGTTCACACATAACTCTCTTGTTACACTTTTTTGAACCTCACGTAGTCCAACCCCCCATGCTTTGCTAGATGCAATTAGAGCAGTCTTCCAATTAAGTGCTCTTTAAAGAAAAGGTGGTGGCAGCCTTTGAGGAAGATATTCACTGTTAAGCAACTCTCCACACCTGCGCTTACAGCCACCAGCCATCTCTACTCTGTTGAGTTGCTTCCCTATATTATCCTCCCATGTCAGACAGGAAAAATCAGCGAAGGTCCACTTAAGCTGATTTATTGCTAATCATGTCAGTGGGCAGGAATATTCTCAATTAATGGGTCAGTACCTGCTTGGAGTTAGATAAAGGTCCAGGGAATTCAAGGAGGGATTGGACTTGGTCTGCTTGTGGCTACGTAGGGATTCTAGGCTGATGCCACTTTTACCTCTGCCCCCAGGTTCTGCCATTCCTCCTACATCTCTCTGGTTCTAGTTTGGTTTTCTGTCAGCACAGAAAACTCTGTCAGCACTTCTTGTTTCTGAGGCCATTTACCATCCTGAATCTTCTGCTCTTCCATTCCCGCTGGTGCTTCTCCTACTGGTTGTCCTTCCAGCTTGTTTTTCAGATTTGTGTGCCTCGGCATTCTCCACAGGTTCCCAGCAAAATTCTCTTTCTTTTTCAAGTTGAATGACATATGTTGGATAGGTTATTTCAAATATGTCTTAACTAGTGAAAAAAGAGTTTTCTGGAATATGATATAAGAATGAGGTAGCTTGATTTATAAAAAAGAATGCTTCTTTTAATGTAGCTAAAACTGGCATCTGTTTTTGGTAGCTGCAACACAATGGTGGTTTGTCTGCTTCAAATATTTATTTGTTTTGCTTGTAAGCTGTCCATTCTCCAAGGCTGTAGGTAGCTAACAGTATCAAAATATAAAATATAACCCTGCAAAACCATAACCTTCAACTTGTCCTGATGTTACTTTGATTTAAACCAGCTCTGTCCAGCTTGTAGTAAAACACACCAGGCTGACAATTACATTGTAAAGAATAGATATTTTATTTTTACCTAACCAGATGTTAATTCGCAGTGCCATCCAATGAAAGGATAGGGTATTAAACCATTTCTGTATGTTTATTTAATATATTAGTATGGATGTTAAATAATTTATTAGATATGTAAGTATTAAAATAAAGTTATCCTTAGAAATGAAAAAAAGTATGCCTAAACAATATGCTAGTCAAGGTCTATAATGCCAGTATAAAAAACAGTTAAACTGGTTTGGGCTTGGAATGCAGTTGACCTAACAGACAGACTCATTTGTAAGATTAATATTTGTTGTAAACCACTTTTCATTGTGTCCACACAGTTCATTTTATTTGTTTCCTGAAACATTATTTTCAAAACAAAGAACTTGACATAAAATGTGTTCCTCTCTGGAATTTAGAAACAAGCTGTACTGTTCTTTTGCAGTGTTACGGGTGGTTAGATTTTTGTTTTCTTGTTAAAGAAAGACTTTTAAAAAATATTCTTAACATACAGTTTATGTTCTTACATCCATAGGGATCTAGTTAAAACTCTTATCAACCAGAATCACAGAGGAGGAAGCTTGGCAAAGGAGGGGCGGTTCTGGGGAATTCTGGCAGAGGCATTGAAGAGCTTTAGGATTACAGGTCGACTGAAAAGGGGTGCAAAATGAGAATGAAAAATGGATTGGAGCTGGGCTGGGTAGGTGGGACTGGTGAAGCTACACCTCATAAAACACGACACGTGCCATTTCCTAATCACATTTTAGCATGCTGGCGACTGCTAAACAGATAGTATCTGCTTCAGAGTAGGGAAAAAAGGATCAAACAAGAGAAGGATATGGTGTTTTGATACTGAGAGTATTACAGAATTACAAAAGTTGGGGGGAAAAAACAGTTGGAGGAGAGTGATGTTTGTAGGTTTTTTTCCTTCTGGTGGGGAGAATAGAATGCTTTTCTTTATGTTGAAACATTACGTTGAAACAATTTTACCGCTACTTGAAGACTTAGACTATATTTTCCAAGCATTTCCTTTCTGAACATGGAAGTCAGATTGGCCAGCACATTTTGAAAGTAAGAGGATCTACAGAAATCATTATTTAGACTTCTGGTTTGTCAGGTGAGGTTCTCAGTGCGCAGTTGCTATGAAAACTTGCAAATCTTGGTTTTGAGGGATGTCACAGTTCCTACATGTGATCCTAATGGACCCCTCTTGGAAAGATTGCATTCTTTGTGGATCAGCAGTTTGTGGTTACTCTTATACATAGAGAAGGGTAGTCCCAACGAAACCGCAGGGAGTCAACAATGGTCCTTGATTCTTCTGTTTTCAGTTGCAGGTGGAGTTTTATTTATTTATTAAATGTATGCGCTATCCCTGATATGGCAGTTCTGGATTTTGCACACCTCTATAGAAGGTGTGTGTCCGATTAGCAAACCCAACAAAAGGAACCCTTAGGCCAATTAACTCCCAAAAGATAAAATTTTATTGGATACACCATCTTGGAACTGAAGAAGCAAAACCAGCTCTGATTTTTCCCGTGCGAAAGCTTGCCTAGTTAAACAATAGATTCCCTTGTCCCCCAACCCTAACCTCTCGGGTGTCCACATTGTCCAATATTAAAACTTCTTTATGTTATGGGAACAGTCCACTTCTTCATTAAGAATCTGCAGTAGAGTGACCTTGGCGTTTTGGAGGCTCTCACGGTTTGTGAACGGCTTCTTGGCATCCTGTTTCCTTGTTTCGCTTCCCACCCCTGCCTCCTTCTTGTTGGCAAATTGATTAGCGGAAGAAGCTAGAAAGCATATAGCGATTCAATCTTGACAGTGTGCATCAAATGGGAACTGCACTTATGTAGCATTCAGACGAAGTGCGCTGTGGTTCAGAGGTTCAACTCAGGTTGAACCCAGTTCAGCCAAACTAAAACCTGGAACATTGGACTGGTTTCGGCTAAAAAACATCCTAGAGGGGTTTGACCAGCAAGCAGGGCAACGCTGAGGCACCTTCTCTCCACTCACGGCCTCCGGGTCTTCCTGTCCTTCAGTGTTCCCAGGGTCCTCCTTTCCCTACCTCCCACCGTGCGCCGTCATACTTATGAATCCGAGCACAGCCCTTCCAGCTGGCTCTGTTGGAATGCACGGGGGATGCTGGCAGCCCCGTCAGGGAGGACGGGTGAGCTTCGGGCATGCAAGGCGGAATGGGACAACCCGCCTTGGTCAACTCATCACGGCCAACTTCCCGCGGGACCGTTTAACAATTCTATTTAATTACTTAAAAAAATATTTTAATTTTTGCCACTCACATTTCATTCTGTCCCTCCTTTGGCATCCTTTCTTTAATGATTATGTTCCACCATTTCTTTGATATTAGCATAACTCTTGTCCCGCAGCGAGCTGGCCGTGGCCGGTTGTCATAGACCCCATTCAAAGGTGGTGGCCTTTTCCTTGCCCCTCCTCAGTCTCCCCTGGCCACCTTTTCCTGTCTCCTCACAGCCACTGCATGCCACCTGCCTCCCTGTCCTTCAGCCTGAACGCTTCTGTTCTGGGTCCATGCCAGTGCCCAAGACCAAACCCACAGATTTGGGTCTGGATCAGGCTTCCTGAAAAGGGCCACACACCAAATTTTGCTCCTGCCTAGTTAAATACAAAAAAATCCAGGTTTGCAAGGAGGCTAAAACAAGCTTCTTGCAGTTCTCTGCCACTTCCGAAATTTGGCGATAGAAAGCAATTCCCTGAAGACTCACCTTTCTCCAACTAGAGCTGCAGGAGGAGCAGCACCCTTGGCCGATCCCAGGAAGCGTAAGCAGATCCCAATGAGGTTGGTCCTTGGACGGGAAATGTCAAGGCTGGATTAAGAATTGGAAAAGTACCCTGGAAGAAGGCAACAAAACTAGTGCCACGCTGTATGGTGTGGTATTGGCCCATTCCACACACTGCCAACGGATGGGCCTCTTCCTTGAAACTGGACCGTCTGATGGGACCTGAGAAGCGTGCCTTTCGGTTAGAGCCCCCACCTTCTGGAACAGCCCCCCCTCCCCCCGATACACGGCTGGCCCTAGGAAGACGTTCCAACCCTGGGGCCCCATCTGGAGGGGAGCAGTAATTGCCCGTTACTCAACCTTGGCTGGTTGAAGAAGTGTGGACTTCAACTTCCAGGGGAATTCTGGAAATAGAAGTCCACCCATCTTCAAGTGGCCAAGGTTGAGAAACACTGGCCTATTGTGGGTTTTGTCTTGGATTTTCCTTTCATTGTTTATTTTGCTTTCTTGTCTTTAGGTTTATTGTAAACTACCTAGAGCCACAGTGTTCAGGTTGTGTGGCATATAAATGCCTTACATAGATTAAGATTAACTTTAAAAGAAAACGGCACGAATCACGAAGATCCGAGGAGTTTACCTCTCCGAGTTTGAAAGGAATGGAGTTTGGCAATAAAGAGCGGCTGGCTTCTCCTGCTCATTTGAAGGCAATTGGCACAGGAGAGGGTCCTCCTTGATCTGGCCACGGCACTGCCAGATGTCTGTACATTTCCGGTCCTTTCTCCGTTGTTTGAGGAAAACAAGCCCTATGAAATGTGGTCCTTTTGTGGGATTGCTGTCTCAAACCTTATCCCCTCCCCCACCTTTCCAGCCTCCTGGGACCTGAAGCTCAAAGCATCTGGGAAAGGCTCTTAAGAGAGCCTGGCGGCTGCTCCAGTACTGCTGCCTCTCCCAAAAGAACTACGGCTCATCGGCCCCTCTTTGGCTCCTGCCTGGCCCCTGCTTCTTGGCCAGGGAACAGGGAGGCCTCCCCTTGTGCGAGAGGACCTCTCCGGGTCTCAAGATTATGGCAGGAGATTTGAGGAGGTGGGCTATTTTCCAAGGTGGGGGCCACCACCTGCGTTGCCTCAGGACAGGGTGTCTCTCGGCAATTAAGGCCCCACCCGGTCAATGTGACATTCCGAACCAGGCAGCAGTTGCAGGGAGATGTTATCAGTTGATTCTCTCAATTCGAATTAAAGTTTAGGAACACTTTATGTTTACACCTCATGTATATGTATCAAGTGTTTCTGATTCTGTGATTCTGTGATTGTGGGGGGAAATGCCCGCTCTGCCCCCATTTCCCCAAATCTGCCCCGGTGTGCTGAGCGACCCGCCCAGCCTGGCTGCAGCCTCCTAGGCCAGGGGGCTCCTGGCGACGGAAGGGGCTCCGCACACAGGGGGTGCATCTCGGTGTTTGGGGGGCTTTCATTTTTGCTGAATGAAACTGTTCCTTCCTTTCTAGAGAGGAGAGGAAAGACCCTCTGTCTGCCCTGGCAAGGGAGTACGGGGGCTCCAAGAGAAACGCTCTGCTGAAGTGGTGCCAGAAGAAGACGGAGGGCTACGAGGTAAGCGTGGCTGGGCCTCTGCCAGGAGCCCAGGTGGGGGCAGAGCCAGGCGGAGGGCAGCGAGGCTGGGCCACACTCCGCCACCTCAGTCGCGGGAGAGCCAGGATGTCCTGTGCTTGCAGGAACAGATCCTGTGCATCCCAGCTGAACAATTATTAATAGCTACTCTAGTTACTTTGCACAAGGTAAATATCTTTCCTGACAGAGTAGCTGACACTCCTGTTCCAGGAGGTTGAAATGGCTGTTTTCTCTTCACACGTATGTGAAGAGAAAGAGCACGGAATGGAACCTCTCAGTCAGAAAAACAAAAGGCAGCCGAGACTTGGAATAATCTCTGCTGGTCTCTTAGACTGTGGAAGTTTATTCCCTACTCAAAAGAACCGCACGGCAGTCCTCTCGTTCTTTGCTGTCCTTTGGGTTTTTCAGAAAGAGAGCCTGGGAACCATGAAGGCTGCTCATTTTAATCAGTGCTATTAAAAACCTGGAATGCTGAAATGGAGCGCCGAGTTCTGAAGCTCTTCCGTCTGTATCTGCACTTCGGAGCGGGTGTTGTTTCTGAGTATCAGGTCTTCTTTGTAGACAGGCAGAGATTCACATGGCTGCTTTAAGCAGAATCAGTCCCTGCCCTCTCCTGTTTTCCTGGCTCTCCTGTTTCTATGGTTGTGGAATGAATTGGGGGGAGGGGGGGTTGTGTGTCCTGTATCACTTAGCAATGGCAATTCCAGTCCCAGTTGCTGTTGCAATACACAACAGAATGTCCACAGTAAAGAATCAAAATAAAAATAATATTTCTAAGAACGAACAGAATCAGTGTTCAACAATACAGTGTAAAATGTTTTGTAGTACAAATCATCTTTGAATCGCATGCGGACCAGCGGGGGAGGGGGTGATTCCGCTTGAGCGGCTGGCAAGGTCGCACATGCGCGCAGCTCCATTTGTGCGAGTGGTGTGCACATTTGCTCATGCAGATGGAGTGCACGTGCATGCACTCACCCACTGCTCGTGCAAGTGGGGATGTGCACACGTGTGCTCCCCCACCATTTCCGCGGCCCGGTTGCAAACACCCCCCGGCCACGGTCCAGAAGTCGGGGACCCCTGAGTTAGTGGAATGATGTTAATTAACATACGTCCTCCCCGTGATTATCGGCATGCTGGTTATTAGGTCACTTGTGTTAGAAAATGTTTTAAAACATTTATCTTTTATTTTTATCAAACAATCCTGAAAACAGTTAATTGCAGCAGCTTAAAAATAAATGAAATTTGAATAATAATAACTTTTTTCAGATTCTTTAAAAATGGCCTAACAGGAACGATTCTTCTAACTTCTCCAGGCCCATTAAATCATTTATGCCAGATTCTTAAATGCTCCAAACTCTTTCCATAGCCAGCTTGCGGGCACTGACCGCTTTGCCGTTCACTTGCCTGGTTGCCTGGTATTTTTAAGCAGCTGCCACTGTGGGTGTTTCTGGAGAGAGATCTCAGCCTCATGCAGTTGTCGGTCAACACTTCCTCCTTTTTGCTATGGAACGAAAGAATGGACTTTTCCTATATACATTGGTATCTGGCTCCATTCAATTTTACAAAACTATTAAAAATATAAGCCGATTGGTGAGTCTCTGCACTAGTCCCGGCCCCCACGGCTAGCATTAATAATTTTTACTGCTACCCAAAGAGGGATTTAATTGTTGTATACTTTCTCAGTATACCATAAAGACAGAATTTGCCTAACTGCCATCCAGTTAATAAACATATGCCTGATTTCTATACCATAATATTTACTTTGGATGCATTCAGAGAATACTTTGGCCCCAAAATACCCTTGTTTAGACTGGGATGTGCTCCGGTTCGATCTGAGTATTTTCAGCGATCGTCACCTTCCCAGGTTTTTGTTGCATCAAATGCTTCTGTGCCAGTTGAGGTCATTGCAGGAGCACAAGGATTAAAGCAGTAACTACAATCGAGTGAGGTGCCCTAAAAGCTCTTCAGTCCAGGTTTCTGAAAGCCATCCTGGCTCAGCACAAAGGCTGAGCCTGGCTGCGCCTCCCCCCCCCCAGGGAGCCGTTTCCCCGAAGCTCATTTCTCAGGGGGAGTCCTGGGGTCATCTCGCCCTCCTAAAAGGGGTTGTTTTTTTTAATCGCTGGGAAGGCAAACTGACTCTCGGCAGCTGGCATAGTCTTTCTTCTCACTCCAGACCCAGATAAAGTCTTAATTGAATTTAAACAGAATTTGAGCTATAGCCTTACAAAAATATGGCCTAAAAACACCTGCCATTATTATGGTCCTCTTGTAGATTCTCCATTGTCCTGTATAATATGCTGCCTGTTCCGTTCAAGATTTTTTTTTCCTTTTCTCAAATTGGTTTGTTCTGGAGACTCGAGGCAAATATACCGGCCTCCTGTGGAGTTACCTTACGTAGGTCTGCTCAGATGCAGAGGCCAAGTAACTGCTGTGCCCATTGTGCTATCCTTGGCCTCTGACGTCCATAACTCATCGCTTAGACATTGTAGTTGTCTTTCTGATCAGGAGATTAGTCTGCCCTTATGGGAGCAACACCATAAAGGTTGCCAAGTTTCTAGCAATAGCTGTGGCTCAGAGAGATCAGTTGATACCCTGTTCTCAACATGAACTGTTTCAGATGTGGGGTTTTTTCCCCATGTCCTAAATGTTGCGCCTCTGTTTTATGGCTCTGGGACTGTAACCAAAAAAAGTAAATATATTCAGAGAAGGTTGAGACGTGAGCTCAAATTTGTCTGCTACTCCCATGATTAATAGCGTGGACAGCCCAGTGCTCTGAGTGTGGATTTTCTGCACCGAGTCAGGTCTTGCAGTAGGGAGCCTGCGAGGCTCAGACCTCAGGGCTCGTTGAACTTTATTGTGTTTGTTCAGAGAATGAAGCCTTCATCGTGGAGATACCTGTTTCATTTCATAATCTCAGTGCCATGTATCTAAAATGGTGTTTCTGGCAGATCTGACACCAGTTAGATACAACTCTGTTAGGAAAGTACCTCTTTAGCAAAGGGCTAAGAAATTAATGACAAGTTGTAGTTGTTTGTTTTTATACTTTTGTTTTCCTTAATGAAGTCAAGTGGTTTAGAGTATTATAAATCCCAAACAGGCACTTTAAAGAGGGTTATAGTGAGCTAAAGTTGAAATATTGGGGTGCAGTGAACTCTGTGGCTAGGAAAAGAGTGGGGGACAATTCCAAAAATTCTGACACCACTTGGAATCATTTTATGGGGAAGGGAGTTAATTTTCTCTGCCTTGTATCTTTTATATTTAGATAGATCTTTTTAATCAAGATATGTCTATAAAAAGATAGGTTTATTCATGGTTCTTTTGTTTTGTTCTATTTTTTTTACACATGTGTAGCTGTAGATGGTCCAAATTCAGCAAATTGTGCATTTATTTCTGGAGGATTTGTTTTTCCCATTTATATTGTGACTACATTTTCCCAGCCTTCTAATCAGTCTGCAGCTTCCATTAACGGGCAGTAAATCCACCAGATTGTTTCTGTAGCTATCAAATGTCACTGTAGTTTTCTGACATTCTGAGACACATTTCCATTCAAAATAGAAAGGAACAAATAAAATAATGTTGTCAGAGAAGGATTGTCTAGCTAACAAATACATAAACCAACCTGACGTCCATTTGTAATAATGAAATTAATCCTGCATGCAGAGAAATACAAGTGCTTACTGTTAGTTGGCAATAGTTATCTATACCGACATTTCTGTGCTGACAAATATATTTAATTGAGAAAAAAAAACTTAGCAACGTGTGTAGCCGATTTCTCAGTGGTCTCTCAGCATAGTGCTAGATACCTCATGCCCTCATGTTTGAGCATCGCCCAGAGAGAGATAAGACCTCGGCATTTAGTTGTCGGTGGCTTAGCAAATTGAGCAAACATGGAGGGTAGCAAGGTTGTCATCGGTCAGCAGTTCTTTCCATAAACTGGCTGTAACGTTATTACAGGCTCCTTTGCAGAAATGTTCATCTTACCTTCGCTCGCTTAGAATTAACGCTAAGCACAGTTGGGCACTTGCCAGCAACCTTAAATAGGTGAGATGATCTCATAGAACCCCCCAAATCAGGGGGTGTTTACACCCCGCCAGATGTGTGGGCATCAAGAACCTAAGTAAACTCCAGGGCTGCCAAAGGTTACTGACTAGGGCAGAGATTCCCGCTGGATGGGCTTGAGCGCTAAGCATGTTCTCACCATCCACGAGACAAACGAAACCAAGCAAGGGCACGTCCACATCCTGCTCTCTTATTCCAGCCCCTGTGTTTGTAAGAATCTCATATCCTTTTAAAAAAGCCACATTCAATTGTTTTAAAAAATCCCATTGTGTAGCTGCGTCAGCTTCAGACTCCTCACATACAAACTGAGATCTTGTGGGGATCAGAGGGATGGAAGGGATCTCTCCTCCGCTGCTCTTCTGGGGCTTTAATCTGACCCCAGGACGCCCGGGGCCCAAGGCTGCCTCGGGAGAGAAGAACCCAATTTTTAGGTGTTTTCTGTGACAAAGCAAAACTTTTCTCTTGAGTGGTTCGTGTAAATACTGTCTGGCTGAAAGAGGCTCCTCTTCCCTAAACCCAGCACTTAAACGCTACTTCTGCAAAAGAGTCACACTTTGCTTGATAAAACCCTGAAGCCGCAGGGTGAGAAATGATGCAGACAGAACCTGACCCAAGGTCAGTGGAGGGCAGGAGGACGCCTGCGTGACCAGAACCCCAAAGAGAAGCAGAAGGAGCTGGCATTCCTCCCTCCCGTATCTGGGACAATGTCAGGGACGGTTCTCATCATCACAGAGGGCCAGGCCTGGAGGAAGAGCAGGCAGGCAGGCAGGCAGGGCATCCCTTGATCCAGAGACACAGCAGGAATTTTGAAGCAGACAAACATCCATACATCCATCAGGGATGCCCCAATTTGGTTTCCTGTTCCGAGCAGGATGCAGATTGTCTTTGTTTGCTTAAGTGATTCTTGGAGGCTAGCAGCCCGTGGTCCCCTCACTGGAGTTTTGCCTGGGGTGAAATGGGTGATCCAGAAAAGAGGCACTGGCTTTAGCAAGAGACTCTTGTGTCTCTGCAGTGTATTCCCTCTCCCTCTCCTTCTCCCCTGTGTTTTTCTCTCCCCCACCAATGTAAACTTTTATACTCCATTGTTTCTATTTGCTTGCTGTTCAGTTTTCTCTTTACTTGTGTTTTGGGCCTAAGCATGTAAGCCCCTCGCTCGCTCCCAGAAGACAGGCTTCCTCTTACCTACTTTGTCTCCCCCCATTTCAGAATATCGATATCACCAACTTCAGCAGCAGCTGGAACGATGGCTTGGCGTTCTGTGCCGTTCTCCATACTTACCTCCCAGCACACATTCCCTACCAGGAGCTGAACAGCCAGGACAAGGTACGCCGCTTGCCCGGAGCTGCCCAGGCCAGACTCCTCCTTTCTAGGCACAGCCCTCGCAGCTCCCTTCTTCTTCACCTCCGTTTTGTACATCTGCAGTTCTTTCTGTTAGTGTGGATAGTTCTCAACTTACGACCGCAGTTGGGATGGGAAATTCAGTCGTAAGCTGTTGTGGTCACAGGGCAAGGCCCCCACCTTACTTGTTTACTGTTTTTAGGGTAGTCATTACGCAAATTGCAGGGTTGTTAGTCCAAATCACGTGGTTATTAAGCAAATCCATTTTCCCAAATGGGCAAAAAACGACACAAATGGCAGTTGTGTGACCGTGGGAGGCTGCAAACAGTCGTCAGTGTGAGCTGGTCAATAAGCACCTAAAATGTGGGCAAGTGACTGGAGGGGCAGCCCAGTGTTTCACTGCAGCCAGAAGTGCCGTAAAGCAGCCTTTCCAAGGCTGTCATAACCTTGAAGGTCATTAAATGACCAACCATAAGTCAAGGACTACCTGCAGGCACCCCTTCCTTTTTCTTAGATTGCAACGTATTTATTTAAATGCTCTGGGCGAAGTACAGTTTTTACGAATAAATGGCTGGATGGGACTTGGTGTGATTCTGAGCCTCGTCTGTGGGCCAAGCCACCGCCCGAAAGAAGGCAAATGCGCCTGTCCCGGGCTAATGTTGCAAGATCGAATCCCCGTCGGTCAAGGGGACCAGAGGTTTACTCTTCCAAGCGTTCAGACGCGTGCTGGAGCCCATCGTTGGGGAACTTCTCCCTACCGGAATGTGTGCTTTGGGCTATCCTGTGGGTTGAATTTATATGGTGCCTTCCGGTTGGTTGGTTGGTTGGTGTGCTGATGGCTGGTGATTGGCTGTCTTTTCCTTGTGCCCTCCTTCCAACAAACAGCTGAGAAAATGTATTTTGTAATTTCCATTTCTTCTGTATTTAGCTTAACCTTCAGACATAGCCAAGTTTGTTTATTTAGCATATGTATGTAGTCAATCACCCCACTAAAATGTGACTCTGGGCAGTGTACAGACTGCAGCAGTTAAGATGGCATAATGTAAAAACAGTTCAAAATAATTAAACAAACAAACAAACAAACAAACCCCAAATAGAGGGAGAACAGCAGTCACTTGATCTTACACAGCCACCTTTAAGACTCCTCGTGGGATCCAGGTTTTAAGGACCTTCTGGAAGGCTAATCAAGATGGACCCCTGGGAGGAAAGGACATTCCAGAGGATGGGGGCCACAGCAGAAAAGTCATCCCACCCGGAGCTCTTTTGGAGACCCCACATGCCCCTCCTGTTGGTCTTGGTGCATTTGGTAGGTGTGAGCAAGAAGGGGGGGGGGTCCCGTGCCATGTAGGGATTTAAAGGTCAAAACCAGCACTTTGAATTGCACCTGGAAGCCAAGTGGCAGCCAGTGCAGCTTTCAGAAGACAGGTGTGGCATGTGCCTGCGCAGCTGTGGTCTATGCAAGCCAAAGCTTCAGGAGGTAGCCCCAGTACAGCATCTGCAGAAGACCGAGGTGTGAGTGGCCATGAGTGGGGAAAAGGGCGCAACTGCTGAAGGAACATGAAGTTGTGCAAAGGCCCACCTAGCCACGGCTGCCACCCACTCCTCAAGCAGATGCCCTGAGTCTACAGAGACCCCCGGATTGTACTCCAGGTGTGTCTGGGCTCCACCCCATGAAGTATCCAGGGTGATAAATTCCCCAGGCCAGAAGGGCCAAGACACAGAGGCTCTTGGTCCCGCTAGGGCTGAGCTGCAGCCTGTGGTTCTCCATCCGACCCCACAGTCTCCAGAAAGCAGGACAGGACCTCGGCCGCACTGCCTAGCTCAGCAGGGCGGAGAGATATGCCTGAATATCATCAGCATGTTGGTGACGCCTCATCCTTTGGGGATGGATGAGCACACCTGCCGTAGCAGCTTCATGCCGATGCTAAAGAGGAGGAGGAGGAGGAGGAAGAGTACTGATCTTGGCAGCACCCCATGACACGGGCTGAGGCTGGGGCCTCTCACTCCCAGTTAGCACCAACGGGCTCCAACCTCACAGAAAAGAAGGGAAGCAGCACAATACTCCCAGCCCACAGCACCGATCCAGAAGGACGCCACGGTCGATGGTACCTAAGGCCAGCGAGAGGTCAAGAAGAGCGAGGGCAGATCTCTCCCGCCAGAGATCATCTATATGTGCCACCAGTGCCATCTCTGTCCCATGCCCAGCCCTGAGTCCCAACTGAAAGGAGACCGGATGATCCATCCGGGGCCCTCTGAAGCTGCCGCCCAATCACCTCCTCCCCAGCCTTCCCTAAAGGTTCGACTAGAGCAGGGGTGTCAAACTGCTGGGCTGTGGGCCGGATGCGTCACGCGGAAGCCGCGCCCATCCCATTGCCGGCAATGGCAAAACTGTCCCGATATATTGCACGACGTCACGTGACGTCACGCGTTTGACATGTCTGGACTAGAGATTTGAAAGCATGTCTGGATTTGGTCCACTAGGGTGAGATCCAGCAATGGTTTCTTGAGGGGGTGTGTGTGAGGCAAAGGAACACTCAGAAAAGAGATCACCAAGGATTCTGCTAGGATTCAGTCACCTGACTCTCAGGCAGCCTTAACTAGCTGGGGGGATCCGAGGAGGGATGGCTGTCCTGCCCACTTCCCCAGGCCCAAAAGGAACTGGGCAAGGCTGCACCCCAGTCACTTCCCCTCAACCTGCATCCTAGCAGGCCCCCCGCTTGGAACAGACTGAGATGCCTGTGTCTGAGGGAGGCTCTCCCATCTCACTATCACTACCCACAAGGACTCTGGTGGCTTTCATTTAAAGAGAAGAGCAACCAAGATGATCAGGGGACTGGAGGCTAAAACCTATGAAGAAAGGTTGCAGGAATTGGGTACGTCTAATTTAATGAAATGAAGGACGTGAGAGCAGCCTTCCAATATCTCGGGCTGCCACAAAGAACAGAGCGAGTCAAGTTATTCTCCAAAGCGCCTGAAGGCAGGACAAGGAGCAACCTGGAACTAAGGAGGAATTTCCTGACAATGAGAACAATTAACCAGTGGAAGGGCTCGCCTTCAGAAGTTGTGGGCGCTCCATCACTGGAGGTTTTCAACAAGAGACTGGACAGCCATTTGTCCTTGATGGTGTAGGGTCTCATACTTGAGCAGGGGGTTGGACTAGATGACCTCCAAGGTCCTTTCCAGCTCTGTTACTCTGTTAAGCCATAAGGGGAGAAGATGCTTTCCTCAACAACCATTGGTAACACTTGAGCGTAAATTGTTACTGTTTTTTAAATTTATTTCTTGCTCCCTTGAAGTTTAAATGATTTATGAGAGAACAATAAAAGTATCTTAAGTAAATCTAACTATTTAAGACAGTAAATATAAGAAATAACGGAAAACTTTATTGTGGACAAGCAAACTATCAAAATACCCAGCAGGATGAACAGGCAGAGGCTCTCTTAGCTTTCTGAGAAAGAGCCATGGCGGCAAAATCTGGTAGCCTCTTTTCTGACTAACAAATGTGATTAAAAAGCTGTTTGTCTCCTGATTTTCTTCCCCGGTAGACTGACAGGCTTTCTTCTGAGTTACGGGATTCAGAGAAAGATCAGGGGCTGCCTGGACCCAGGGAGGATTCTCCAAAACAGTGAAGAGAAAAAAGGAGGCCTGGTAGAAAAGAGGAAAAAGAAAGGAGTGTGTGTGTGTGTGTTTGGCAAATTCAGATTTGTATTGGAGGAAAAAGCCTTTTCCTGGAGAGCCCAGGCCAATCCTGCGTGAGCCGAGAGGTCGTCTTCACAGACTGGGGTTAGTTGTGCTGACTGAGAAAGGCTCCTGAGGGGCTATTAATAAAAGACATTTCCACCCTGAAAAGAGGCCGTTTGGAGCCTCTGGAGTGCCAGGGAAGTGACCCTCGTGCCTTCCTCGCGGTCTCCCTCCCTCCCTCCGTGGGCCCTGCCTGCGCTTCCTTCCTCACCGCAGCTTCTCCGCTTGTCTCAGGACTGGCCTGTCTTCATCTCCAGCAGCCTTCTGCCCCTCGACTTCTGCAGCGACAAGATCTCCCACAAGCATATTTAACAGAAGAACAGTCGGAAGGGACCTTGGAGGTCTTCTAGTCCAACCCCATGCTCTGGCAGGAAACCCTGTACCATTTCTGACAAATGGTTGTCCAATCTCTTCTTATAAACTTCCACTGTTGGAGCATTCACAAGTTCTGGAGGCAAGTTGTTCCACTGGCTAATTGTTCTAACTCTCAAATCCCCAAAGATCCATTTTGGAAAGGGTTGAAACTGTCTGTTACAAATTTTCAGTGAAATTTCTTTAAGGGAAAAATACATTTTATTTCCATTAGAGAATTTTTGATAAATTGTGAAAGGCAAAGGACCCTGCAAAAACTATGTAAAAGTGTACAGGTAGTACTAATAAAGGAGAATGTTTGTAGCTCAGAGAGCGCCAAGGAGCCCCCGGGCGCAGGTAGTGCTCGACTCTCAACCATTCGCTTAGTGACCGTTCTAAGTTACAACAGCATGGGGAAAATCGACTTTTTAGACCGTTCTTCACACTTGCGACCGTTGCAGCATTCCCAGGGTCACATCATGAAAATTTGAGCGCTTGGCAACCGGCACGGACTTAACAACTGTGGCAAAAAGGTTGAAAAGTGGAGCAAAACTAAACAGATGCTTTGCTTAGCAACAGAAACGTTGGGCTCAATTGGGGTCATAAGCTGAGGACCATCTAGCAGTGATTAAGAGGGAAGACCTTTAAGCCATTTTTGGTATTTAAGTTATTTGCTGTGCAGTTACTGTGGCTTCACTCTGGTTTCAGAGAAGAAACTTCACGCTGGCTTTCCAGGCAGCTGAGAGCGTTGGCATCAAATCCACTTTGGTAAGTCCTTGCAAGGATGATCTCTCTCCTCCCTCTCCCTCCCTCCCCCCAACCCAGAAGGAAGACCTGATGACCACGTCACAAGGGACTGCTCTCTCTGCAGATGAGTGCTGAAGCTGCTTCACACAACTCAGTAGCACCGACGAATGCTAGTCAGGACTTTGGTGTCAGGAAGGTGGCTGGCCCTGACCTGCTTTCGGCTCCAGCCTTCTCTGGCTTTTTCGCAAAAAGTAGCCACACCTGTTCTCTCTTCATCAAGCTGGGGAAACGTTATATGCAGGAGAGCCCCCCCCCCCCAAGCAGGCCAAGGCCTTCTGCACTCTTGAAAAGGGCCTAATGGAGCTGGCAAAATCCCCTCTGCACTCCTCCAATGGGCAAGCAGCAGGCCTGAGAGGCAGAGCCTGCAGACTTTTATTTATTCATGTAATTACTGTTATAGTCAGCCTTATATTCAGGGGGGAAGAAGTTAATTCTCATGACTAGCATCTTTTTATGTTTCCGTTTTTTTCTTCTTGTTTTCTTGGTAGGATATTAACGAAATGGTACGAACGGAGCGTCCAGACTGGCAGAATGTTATGCTCTACGTCACGGCAATTTACAAATACTTTGAAACCTGAGAGCAGGAAAAGTGGGGAGAAGCAGAAGCTCAAAACTGTATCCTAAAACCAACTGGCATCTTCTGGGTAACCTTCTGGTCAGTTGAGCAAGCCAGGTTTAGTTACCAGAATGATTGTGCAAACTCAAGATTACGCGTTAACAAAGATTTCGTCCTTTTCTTGCCAGAGACTAAACTGAATATAAGCTGCAAAAAGCACAAAGCTAAAGAAGGTCATCTGATTGTATCACAAATACCTTTAAAGTGTTCCTAAAGGTTCAGTAAATATTATTTTTCTGACACCCTAATGCTCCCCAGAGCAGAAGAAGCGGCTTCTTGTAACCTCGTCAAAGCCACTTGAGATCCTCTCCGTCTCTCCAGCTAAAAAAAGTGCAAAGGTGCCTTTTCCTTGCCACCTTCCCCTGACTGCAGACGCGGCCACGTCAGGACTGTGCACAGCAACAGCCTTGCTCAGCCGAGGAGTCCGTGTCTTAAGGCTGCCAGCTCTTCCGAGGCTCGATTGTAATAAAGGTCCTGCCTCAATTGGGGGGGGGGAATCTGGGAGAGCAGGCAGATTATCCCAATTCCAGGAGACGCCCACATGGAGATCGGTTGACTTTTCCTTGGGAATAACTAACTTTTTTTCTTCTTGACTTTCCTTTTTGGTGGTGCTCCGGATAAGTTTGTTTCAGATGAAGAGAATGTTTGGACAGGACAGGATAAGCTTTTCAAAAGCTGGTCAACGTTTTGCCACAAAGATCTCGCCCCTGTGGGGCCTGCCAGTAGCTCTGCCGCTCGCCCTCCACCTGCTTCACTGCTGCTCCTGTAAATGGGTCGAAGTCAGAGGGGCTTCTGGGGCTTTCCCTACGCGTGTCCTATGAATGGTGCGTGTCCCGCTCTGCAGGCCATGCTCTTTGGTTTAACAGGTGGAATTAATCCTGATCAGGAGATGGAACAACTTTGGGCCCAATGCTGCCGGGGGGGGGGACGAGTGCCTCCCCTGAGTTGAGAGCAGCCGCAGCAGCCCAAGGACCAGGCAGCTCCAGGGAGTGTCTGGTGCCCTCCCCCCCCCAAGGGAGGCCCTGGCAGAGAGGCAGTGTTAGGATTGGCTGCCGGGCAATGAAAGGGGGGGTCACCCCTTCCCTGGAGGGGCCAGGTGGCGATCTGCTCACGCCAGAGGAAAACGCCTTGCCTTTTTGAAAACAAGTCTGTTACCTTTTGTTTGTAAATGTACTTTGCTTTTCCCCACTCGATGTAATTTTGCATTCTTTGATGTGCCTGGCAAAGGACTGTGAATGTTGCCGGTGTGTGAGCTGTCGAGAATATAACCCAGTTCCACAATTTAGCCTGGAAAGTCTCTGGACGGGCACTGAAACCAGACCGGGTCCTGAAGCAAGTCAGAATGAACTCTGAAGAATGTAGCCTGAAAGTTTTCTTGTGCCTCTTGTATGTCACCCACCGTGCAAAAACACTTTATAAATTGGTCGTGTCTGTAAGCTGCCTAGTGGGTTCCCAGTGCCCGATTTCTGTTTCTGGTTTTCCTCAAGGAGCCTGCAAATACTGACAAATTTGCCTTGGGATGGAGATTGGCATTACAGGAAATACACGGGGAACTTGCTCTGCGCCTCCCGGCATCCTTCCTTCCGTTTGTCTTAAAAGGAGTCTTGCACCAAACGGTGCCCTGGCCTCCCCTGAACTCTCTGGACCTGGTGATGGAAGGGAGGCAGCCTTCCTTCCGCTCTCTTCTTTCAGAGTCTAAATTATGAGGCCTTGTGTCTTGTGTGTCCCCCCCCCCCCCACACACACACCCTGTTTTGCATCCTATAAGAAGACATACATATTTTTCTTCTAAGCAGACGACAACTCATTGTGGCCCAGGAGCAGTGAGGTGAGTTTTACACAGGAATTACTCCAGGAGTTCTTGCTCTCCCCGTCAAGGGAGGGACAGGAGGCAAAAGGCACACAGAGCAGGGGGGAGGAAGCTTCCGACTTGTTCCCTTGTAGTGACGATCTGTTAACTTTTGATAAAGATGGAATTATATTAAGATCTCACACAAAAAAATATTTTATCAAGGAAAGTACTCAAAAGGGTGGAAGAAATCTAAATAAGCTTCTTCTACAATAGAAGAATGCTTAGCAGGGAAGTTCTTTGTTAGATTCTTTTAAGTACTCTTGGATTCTTTAGCCATCTTCTAAAAACTAACTTATGTAAAAATATATTCTTGTTACATTTGTCTTATTAAATATTTTGAATATGCAATAAAAAAGCTAGTCTGAGCAATGTTTTCATGTTTCAGTAAATGCTCCTGTATGTCAGTATTTTGATTTTCCTTATTACTGTTTGGGGAGGTTTTACTGAGATCTCTTGGGGGGGGGGGGGTGAGGCTGTGGTGAACCAGAGGGGAGCCCCCCCCCCCCGTCTCTCCTTCAGCGTCTTTGCCCAGTGGGAGTTCAGGCGATTCGTCATCCTTCCTGTCTTCCAGCAAGACCCGGAGTTTAGGCAACTTGCAGTCTAGCAGCCTGGGAAGGGGATCTGCCACAGGGCTGTCCCTGCCGTGGGAGGCTTCACACCCAGAGAGGCCCCTATTTGGTGGCAGCAGGGTTCCTGCCCACATGGAGAAAAGGGGAACCCTCCCAAAATTACACTCTGGCACCTGCCCCCTTCCTGAGGTCTTGGGGAGGGGTACCTTTTTTCCCCCTTTTTTCAGCAAAAAGTCCACCAGAGGCTTCCAGCCACTAATAAATGTAATTATTATCCTTCCTCTAATCAATTATCTTTGGCCACAGTTACATCGAAATTAATTTAACTTTGGTATTTGTTGAATGGGCCCTGGTGAGCAGCAGCCCCATTCCAGCGCCCAGCGCCTCGCGGGCATCTCGCAAGGTCTGCACCAGCCAGGTCGCCAGAGGCTCAAGCAGGAGCTCTCACAAGCCATCAGTTGCTCTCACCTGCTCCCCTCCTGAGCGGAGAAGTTGCCAAAGGAGGTGCCCCACGTTGTGGGAAAGGCTGCTCGGGAATCCCGTAACAATGGGGTTAAATGGATGAACTGCCCTCCCTCTCTTCTCCGTGGGGCAGCCAAAGTTCAACAGGAGTGCTGGGCAGAAAAGCCTCCCAGCCCTTCTGCAGCCCCCCTTCAAACCGGGTCCTCACCTGGAGGGAGGGTTGGGGCAAGCCTGGGCCGCCGGTCACCATCTTCTGTAAGATAGGATCACCTGCAACGAGGCCCGCGGTCTAATCAGAATTGGATCTAATCTGGGAGGAGAGGGACGACCTGGTACAAATTTGGGTGGAGGAATGGGGGGCGGGGGGCCCTTGAAAATGAGCCTCCGGGCTTCGTGGCGGCTCCCGGGCGGGGGGGGGGGGCTGCGGGGATAGCGGAATTCTCGGGACTTCTGGTGGCTTTCTGGGGCTCTTCCAGGAACACGTCCCACGAGGGGCTGAGAGGCGCCTTACCGGCGGGGCCCCTGCCTGCCTCCCTCCGGGCCGAGATCCGCCCCTTCCCTCCCTTGGGAGCATCACCGACAGGGGGGGTGCGATGTAATTCCCTCAAATGACCCACATGAAGCCCCCCCGGCCTCCCTCCCGTCGGGGAGGCTCCCCGCAGAGCATCCGGGAGCCGGAGAGGCTCCTCCGGCTGATCTCAGCCCTCGCGGCCGCCTCCGCCGCTCGGACACAGCCCTCCGTCTCGACGGCTCCCTCGCCGAGGCGCGGCGGCCGTGCTCTGCTGGGGAGCCGCTGCCGGCCCGGCCGCCCCCTCCGCGCTCCCGTCTTCCGCGGGGCAGGGCAGGCAGGCTCCGCGCCGGCCGGGTTCTCTCGCGGGCCTTCCCGCCTGGCGCGGGCGCCGCAGGAGGCCGGGCGCTCCGGAGCCCTCGAGGGCCGGGAAGGGCCGCGGAGCTCGTCCGCCCGGTCCGCCCTCGAGAAACGAGCCGCCGCCGCCGCCGCCGCCGCCGCGCCTGGCCAGCNGGACGGAGGTCTGGCCGGACGGGCGGCGGGGAGGGGGAGGCAGGCGGGCCAGCGGGGCGGGGCGGGGCGGGGCGGCCGCCGGGCCGGTCAGCGGGATTCGAGGGCAACCAGCGAGCCGGGAGGAGCTGCCGGCCGGCCGGCGACGAGCAGGTGAGCGCGGGCGGGGCGGAAGGTCGGGCGGCGTCCCGTCCAGGGAGACCCTCGCGGGGCTATTGCGGAGGCTGCTCCGGGCGCCCCTTCGGCCCCGCCGGTGAACTTTCCGTCGGCTCAGAAAGGCCCTCGACGGAGCTCCGCCTGCGCCCCCCCCCCCCGCGCCTTCTGTTCCGGGAGCCGCCGGGCCGGGCGAGGGGCCGCTGCCCGCCGGACTCCCTTGGGAGCCGGCAGCACCGCCGCTGAGATGCCGCGTTTGCTCCATCAAGGGCCGTGGCGGGCGGGGCGCAACCCCCCTCCCCGAGCTTCGGCCGGGGGGGGGCGAGATCATCTCCGGCGTGGCGTCTCGGGAGCGGCAGCTCCTGGCCCTGCCCGGGGCTCGCTCTGCCCGCCCCCGCCTGCATCCCGGGGGGGGCGGAGAGGCGCTGCTGGGGGGGAGTTCAGGACGGGACGGAGGGTCCGGGGCGTCCGTCGGGGCGCCTTCTGGGAAGAGGCTTCCTGGGGGAGACGGGAGCTGCTCGCTTAGCCCAGCACCCCCCCCCGAAGTTGGGGAGCCCCAGTTCCTTCGGAGGAGGAGGGGGCTCTGAGTGGCAAGGAGAGGCGGAAGCGAGGCAGGAAGAGACTCTGGGACTGCTGCATCTCTGCTCCCCGGATAGAGCCCCCCCCCCTTCTCCATGGCCCTGAACGACCAAAAAGGGGTAAACTGGCCCTCCCAGCTAAAAATGCTTGTGAATTGCTCCTGTCGGCTGCTGACAATTATTGATCAGCTTGGTCTAGTAGTGTCTTCGTGGGGGGGAGACCTAGGGCAAGGCAGGTGCCTGGGCAACCAGGAATGGCTCTTTTCTCTGGGAGGGGCTCCCTTGGGTGGTCATCTGGGCCCTTCTGGGAGAGGCTGTCTCTGTTCCTGGAAGTCCCCCCCCCCAATGTACTTCCAGCCTTCTCAGGCTTTGCGGTAATGCTGGGGATCTTAAAGGGTGGCTAATTTCTAATTGTCTTTTGAAAGTTCTTCCT